TGTGCTATCGGCTGTGTGGCAGCACGTGATATACTCGCTTTGCTTTTGTAATTTCGCTTTTGACTGGCTCTTTAGCGCACGCTACGCTTTTGCCAGACGTTTTTGTTGTTGTTGTTGTTTTTTTTTTTCACTTGTTGGGCTGTTTTTTCTTTTCCTTCTTTGTTTTCTTCCTTTTACTCGCCGCTCTGACTGCTCGCTCTCACTCTCTCTGTCTCTCTCAGCCGGCGCTGAGCTCTCACGCTCTCGTTCGTTGGCTCTCGCTGTCTTTCGGGCTCTCTCGGTTCATACCGCTCTCGCACAGCAGCGGCTTGCTGTGTGTTTGCAAGTTTGTTTCAGCTCGGATGTATTTGTTGTTGTTATTGCATACACAATGGCACTATCCGGTTTAGGTCCAGGTGCAAATTTTATACAACAGTTTAACTCGATAATCGGGTCAGGCTATGGCCATTTGTTCTACACGTTTTTTTTTCTTTGTATTTCGGCAATTCTAGCGGGAAACATGGCGTCAATTTTTGGTTTTTCTTGTTCTATTGTCGGTTTTACTTGCCTTTCAAGTAATTGCAACGTCAGCATTGAGCAGCGTTGCCACCCAATTGTTGGGGGACCAGGAACGTCATAAATGCACCGTTACACATTCAAAGCTGCGACGTGTTGTAATTTATGTTGCTGTATTTGCTGCTCTTTGACTCAACCGAAATAGAAAAAAAAAAAAAAACTGTGTGTGGCTGTTACTTTACCTATTTTATTACCATTTCTTATGTGTATGCGTGTGTATGTGTGTGTTTGTGTGTGCAGCACCCATCATCTGCCTCTTTGGCTGACTTGGCTGCTGTTGCTTTTCTTACAAAAACCAACTGTACTTTTTAGTTACTGTTAGTGCCCGGCGCACCCGGCGTACACACCAAAAGCCACTTGACTACTTGACTTGATTGCCATTAGAGAGCAATATGTACATATGTGTGTATGTAGAGGCGCGCTTCTTTCCATTCTGCTGGAGTGACACAACACTCCATTCCACACATTCCATTCTCATACCATTATTATTTATTATGGGTCAAATGTTGGTTACATTTCAAAACACGAATGCCGCAAGCCCAATGCTAAAGCAAAGCTCAACTCTTCAGAAGACGCGGGCGCGGAGTAAATTAACAACAAAAAATTGCTTTTCTTTTTTTTTTTTTTTGACAAGGTGAATGAACTTTTGTTGCTCGTGCTCTCCACATTGTTGTTGCGGCTGTTGCAAAATGTTTAATCATATTCCGCATTTTATTGTTAGTAGTTACCATGTTGGGCGTTTGTTGTTGTTTGAAGTTTCTTCAATTGCTGCTTATGCTTTGAGCTTCTGTTTCTAACAGTGATTGTTTGTGTGTGTGTGACAATTTGCATGAAATTGGCAGCGCTGCGCTTTATTTATCGATAACAAAACAAAAGCACAAGCGCAATTGATAATCGGTGCTTGAGGCGTCCAATTTGAGCACTTGGAAAACTGTTGGGCAACACTCGACGAAAATGAACTGCCCCATAAAATTGTTGGGTTGCCTCGCAATAAAATAAGCCAGAGAGACGAAGCTAATGCTGCTGACTGCCTGACTGGCTGCCTGTAAAAGCCAACAACAACAAGCGCGTCGCGTCGCGTCGCTGCTGCGTCGGGTCAGCAGCGACGTTTGTCGTCACCAAGTTGGACACACAGAAATTTGCTTGTCTATTATCACCTTTAATCGATTTTTCGCTTATTTAAAACAAAAGTACAGTTGTGCGCGCATAGCCAATTCACACACACACACACATAATTTCACATTTTTTTCAGATGCTTTGTTGTTGCTTTACATATTACTATTGCTTTTAGTGTATTGTTTTTGCAATTACTTGACGACGCCAAAAACGTAGCAAAAGCAGCAGAAAAGGAGAAAAAAAAAACTCAATGACATGTACATACATACATACAGACATATAAACATAGCTATCTGCTAGATACAAACTTTGCACAGAAACACACACAAATACCTAGACTAATAATAATGGAAAAAAAGCTGAAACTAAATAAATAAATAGCTGAAATTGCAAAAGCAAAATGTAATTGATTACAAACAACAACAACAACAACAATAAACAACGACGACTGACTAAATGATTGCCCAATGAGCGCGAGCGCGAACAACTCGCAGCGAAGAAGCCAAGAGGAGGAGTACGGTTGCTTAAGGGAGGGGGGGCGAGAAGGTGCGAGGAGGAGCAGACATTTTGTAGTGGGAGAGTAAGCGGGAGGCAAAGCCTAAGCGAGCTTAGCGCTCATGTCATGCACTCCACATAAGTTTTGATGCATGTGTTTATGTGTGTGAGTATTTGTATGGGGGCTATATTATATATATATATGTGTTTGTGCATGTGTGCGTGTGTGTTTGTGAGCTAGTGTTGCCACTGTGGTTGGCTGGCTGCCTGACTGTCTGGCAAGCAAAATATGTGCGCACGTATTTATAACAGTACACCGAGCGCAATTCGGTACCTCTAGCCGTGTATGTATGTGTATGTGTGTGTGTGTATGTGTGTGTGTTTGTTGCTAACTGTATATTTCGTACAGTGGTCGCAAGCAAATTAGAATTTTTAAATATGGAAAAAATTCTATTTATTTTAGCAATTAAATTTTATTACAAAACAAAAATACCAATGGAAAAATAAAAAAAAAAATCTGAGAATTTAAACACAGGTTGCTACCAAAATAAGGCACATTTACCGGTACACTACTGGCAGATACTTGCTTTATTATTAATTATACTTTATTAAGTATTTTTAAATTCACTTTTTAATTGAGCAGAAAATATTGCTTAAGTTTTCCCTTGTATTTACAAACATTTTTCCCACTAAATAGTTTCAGGTTTCTAATGCATTGAGCACACTGTTCGTAATTTTTTGATGTTCTAATTAACGAGCGACCACTGTAGTTTAGGTTGCGAGCTACTTGCTGCATATCTCGTATGTACAATTCCTCCGACTGTAGTTTTGTCTCGCTGTATCTCTCCGCTTGGCGTACACTTTCCATTTACAAGCACACACACACATACAAACTAACTTACACACACACACACACACACAATGGCTGCTGTTTGCAACATTTGCATATCTTTTGGGCATTGCTGCCTAACCACCATCGCCCGCCCACCCCTCAAAAATGCTGCTCAACGGGCAACTCCCGCATCACCTATTTTTTTTTGTTGCTTTATATTATTTTTTTGTCTTCTTCGTGCTTTTGCTGCTGCTACTTTAGATTTTTGGGGCTAAACCTTTGCAGACAATGCGAAAAATCGATAGAGTTGCCATTGTTTTTTCTCACTGCAAAGATGTCGCCACCACCCACCACCACCCCCAGCAGCAGTAGCAGCAGCAGCAGCAGCAAAAAACAATCTCGCAAGAAATGCCTGCCAGCCTCCCAAAGAAGAAGGGGGTTAAAGCGTAGCCTACCATGGCAATACCAACGGCCAGTCTTAATCCACGCCTCATTAATTGCTAACACTTTTCCCTTTTTTTTTTTTTGTTCCCTTTTCCAACACTTTGTCTCAATGTTGTAGCTTCTTTTGTTACATTTTTCCTGTGAGGGGGGGATGGTATTTTGGTACAGCCTAGCTAAAAAGTTGTCAGGCTCTTTACAATTCATATAACATGCAGCTTAATAAAGTTTAGTGTAGAAAATAACACTCAAATGTTTAGGGGGTCAAACTGTACGTTGTATGTGCAAATGATGAAATTCATAAGCGTATAGCTTTTCCCCTTAAACGTTGATGTGACGACAACCTAGATAAATCCTAAGCAACCAGTTTCTAGCTATGTATATACATACAGTGAACGCTCGATAAGCTAAAAGCTAACATTTTACATTTTACCTGCCGTAAAGTTTCTTTAATTAATCTAAAATATACTTAAGATTGTAAGAAACTATAAAAACAATTAGAACTTTAAATTCAAGGCATTGAAACAAGCGAATATGGCTTCTAAAGCTTGTTGAAATTCCAGAAGATGCTGTAAAATCTTCCGGAATATTCAACTTTTTAAGGCCTCAGGCCTCGAATCTAAGCTTCTGGTTTTTTTTGGATGTGTTTTAAAATCTTATCAAATTAAACGAAACAAAATTTTACTACTCGAGCGATGAAATGCAGAGTTTCTCCTTAACGAGCAATCACTGTACCCGTAATAATTCACATGTAGTTACTTTAGTATAGTATTAGTACATAGTATTAAACTAGTATAAGCTCACATAAAGCAATTTAGTAATTTGCATTTCTCTTTTTTCTCTCCTCTTCTTTCAGATTCTACGTATAAATAAAAAATAAAAACACGCTCAATACCGTTTTACGCAAATGTTTAGGGAATTTTTTGTTTATTTGTTTATAGAACTTTTTCTTATTTAATCGAAATGTTTATCTTAACAATTTTTGCAGCTGTGAGCAAATGTTTCACTGCGAATATGTCAAAGGTCGGCCATGAAGTGTGCGCAACAACAAAAAGGACAAACACAATTGTGTATACACTATAAAAATAATAAACTTATTATATATACATATAAATTAAACGGAAGACGTTCCCAAAAACTGCACATGAGCTGTAATTAAGTTTAGTAGTTAGCAAACAAACTCCAAGCAAGAAAAGGAAAAACAAAACAAAAACAAAGGAAAATCGACTCAAAGAATACGCGTTGATTTGAAGACAACTTTTGGGCTTTTTCTCACAGTGTAGAAGAACGTTCCACAGCACTGCGCGTTGTGGTTAAATGAGTCAACGTCGCGGCAGGACGCATCCTGCCAGACCGTAACACCCATCCAATTCCCCCACCAACACCAACACCTCCGTACCGTAGTATATATCCCAATTTGACAACGGCCACGCGCAGAGAGCAGCATCAAAATTAAGCCAATCGACGACCAAACCTAAACCTTAAAAAAAAAAAAAACGCAGCGTCGCGTCCTTCGACGCGTAACGGGAAATTTCTGTGTGCGCTGCGTTTCAAAAATCTGATGGATGGAAATGCACAAAATATGTTTCACGGCAATCATCAAGGGTGAGTTTTAATCGCTTTTCATACCCGCCCCTTGTCTCTGTGGGTGGGCGTGGGCGTGGGCGTTGGGACTGACAAGAAAAAGAATCCATTTTTCTTGTCTCTTTTTTTTTTTTTTTTAGCAAGAAATTCCTTTAAATATCTAAACCAAGGTTTTATATATATATATATATATATATTATAGATAGGATCAAGATAGGGCATCTCTTATAGTTTTGGGTTGAATTTGAAGAAGTTTTGTTATTAATAATATATCAGGAAGCCTTCTCTATAAAACCTCATACATATTTTGCCATACCATCTCATGCTAAAATTATGCTCTCTCTCTCTCTCCCTCTCTTCCTGCCTTTTTAACCCACAGAGATCCCTATTACCGTTATGATGCGGCCGCCGCAGCAGCCGTTGCCGCAGCGGCAAATCCGCGGGCCATGGGCCCACCAGGCGGCTATCCGCCGCGTCATCGGGCGCCGCATCCGCTACAGCAACAGCCACAATATCCATCGTACCAGCCAACGGCGGAGAACCTGTACGGGCTGGGGGCCACCGATCAGCATGCAGCGATGGGCGTCGGCATGGGCGATCTGAGCGGCTGGGGTGCGGCGCCTTCGGTGCCGGGCCAGGCAGCCGCCTATCCAGGCGCTGGCCTAGGCGCCTACGGACATCCACAGGCAGCGCCGCCGACGCAGCAGCAGCGTCAGAGCAACGCCAGCGCCTACCGCCAGCACATGCCCGCCTACGGACAGCAGGAGCAGCAGAAACTGGTGCCCTATGGCGCGCAGCAGAACATGATGGGCGCCCTGGGTGCCAGCGGCTATGGCAGTCTGGCGCCCCAGCAGCAGCAGCAACAACAGCCACCCACGCCACAACAACAGCAGCAGCAACAACAACAACAACAGCAGCAGCAGCAGAGCCAGCAGCAGGCTCGTCTGCCGCAGCATTATCCACAGGCGCCGGGCCAGCATCCCTTGTATCCGGGCGCGCCGGCTCAAGCAGCACAGCCGGTAGCACCACAGGCATACGCGCATAGTCCGTACGGCAGCCCGATGCAACATCAGCCGGGACGCAGTGCACCCCAGCACGTGGGCTACGGTCATGCGGCACTGGAGCAGGCCAGCGCCTATGGCCAGCACGTGCCTGGCGCAGCGCCGCCGACGCATCACTTGACTGCGCAGCAGCAGCAGGCTGCGCAGTTGGGTGCGCATCCCAGCGCGCACATAGCCAGCGCACAGCAGCAACAGTTGCAGACACAGCAGCAGCAGCAGCAGGCGCAACAACAACAGCAGCAACAACAACAACAGCAACAGCAGCAACAACAACCGAACCATGTGAGCCTGATGCAGCAGCAGCAACTGCCAGGCGCCGTGCTGCCGCCGCCGCACATGGGCATGCCGCCCAGCTATGGCAGTCACCATCAGCAGCAGCAGCAGCAGCAGGCACAGCAGCAGGCCCAACAGCAGCAGCAGCAGCAACAGGCCCAACAGCAGCAGAGCGCACCGCCCTATATGTCCAGCAGCAAGCATCAGGCAAGCGCTCAGCTCAACTCTTCGCCGCAGTATCGTGCACCGTTTCCACAACTCTCGCCCCAGATGTCGCCGCGTCCGCCCACCATGTCGCCGCATCCACAAATGTCGCCACGTCCAGTGGGCGTGTCGCCCGCCAAGCCACCACAAACCGCACAGCAGCAGCAGGTGCAACAGCAGCAGCAGGTGAACTCGCCCAGCCAGCACAGCATACAGGGCATGGTTGGGCTGCCGTCACCGAGACCGCAACCACCCAGCGCAGCCGCCGGCGGCGCCAAGGTGCCCGTTAGCGTGGCAGCTAGCGGTGTGCCGCCGGTTGTCAATACGCTGCAAGCACTCGAACAAATGGTCATGCCCACACAGGCGCATGGCCTGCCGCCCATGGATTATCCCACATCGTATCGCAGCGCTGCGGTCATGGGACCGCGCATGCCCGCCTCACCCTCGCCGCAGCATCATCAGCAATGGGGCGCGCCGCATATGGCGGCCATGCAACAACAACAACAACAACAGCAGCAGCAACAAGCGCCACAGCAGCCACCGCCACAGCAACAGGCACAACAGCAGCAGCAGGCGCAGCAGCAACAGGCACAGCAACAGGCCCAGCAACAAGCACAGCAGCAGGCCCAACAGCAGGCGCAAGCCAATGCCCTGTTGCAGCAGCAGCAACAGGCAGCACAGGCGGCACAGGCAGCACAGGCAGCACAGGCAGCACAGGCAGCTCAAGCAGCACAAGCAGCCCAGCATCAGCAACATCAGCTGAGCATGTATGGACAGAGCATGGCCCAACAGGTGCCGGTGCCGGTGCCTGTATCTGTGCCCGTATCGGTGCCTGTATCCGTGCCCGTGCCCGTGTCGGTGCCCGTGCCAACACAGCAGCCACAAGCAGCGCCTGCCGCACAGCCCACACAGCCACCGGCGCCCCAACATCAGCAGCAACAACAACAACAACAGCAGCAGCAGCAGCAACAACAGCTGAATGAGCAACTGCAGCATTCCATCAATGACATTGTGGGTGGCAACCAGCAGCAGCAGGCGCAGCAGCAAGCGCAATTGAGCGCACAAATGTCCTCCTCGCCACTGCATCAGCAGAGCTTGCCTAGCATGCATCATCTGAGCGCTGCGTCCCATCACCAACAGCAACAGCCAACGCTAGAGGCCAGCGCAGCCCAAGCACCGCAGCAGCAGCAGCAGCCGACGCATCAGCAGCTGCAGCAGCATCAATCGCCCATACATCAGCAACAGTCTCCGCATCAGCAGCAACATTTGCCCAGCTATGCGCAGCAGAGCAGTAACCAACAGCAGCAGCAGCAGCAGCATCAACAGCAATTTGATGCGTTTGCCAACATCTTGACAGACGCGCCCGCAGGAGCAGCTTCGGCAGCTGCAACCACAGCTGCCACACAGCAGCAAATAATGTCGCCTGCGCATGTTAGCTCGCCCATACCGCAGCTGCAGCAGCAACATCAGCAGCAGCAACATCAGCAACAGCAGCAGCAGCAGCAGCAGCAACCGGCCACGCCCACACCGTCAACGCCCTCGCATCATCTGAGCAGCATACTCAACGAGACGGCCAACTCGAATGACTCCTCAACGCTGGCCGTCGCCGCCAACGACAGCAACAACAGCAGCAGCAACAGCAGCACGAACAGTATCGTCAACAATCAGCCCACCTCGGTGCACGACAGCAACTCGCAGAGCAGCATCAACAGCAACAATCAGCAGCCGTTGCTCTCGGGCATGGACGCCGTTGCGAACAGCATGCTCAACAGCAACTCGGACTCGGCGCACACCACGCACCATGTAAGCGGCGTGGATGTGGGTCTCTTTGACAACAATTCGATGAGCTCGACCAGTGCGGCAGCTGTTGCGGCCGCTTCGAATGCCGCCAATGCGGCGGCGGCGCTGCTCGATAGCAATTCGCAATCGTCGAATGCGGACTTTGAGAAAAGCGTCTGTGAGTCAGAGCAGCAGGCAACAGCAACAGCAGCTGGCGGAGATCTGTGTGCACAGTTGGCGCAGGATGACAACAGCGTTTCGAAGACGCAGCCGGAGACGCTAAGCGAGACAACGCTTCCGGCGGCGGCGCAGGAGGAGCACGACAACAGCAATCACAAGCAGCCGCAGCATACCGAGGAGCTGCTGGCGGAGCAAACACAGCAGACCCTAAGCGAGCTCGCCGCCGTCGGCGGTGAGGAGACCAAATCCGCCGAGGAAATATGTGAGGATAAGAGCCAAACGCAAATGGACACAACGCTCGGCCAACAACAACAGCAGCAGCCACTGGGCCAGACACCGCTGGGTCTGGGCATGCCCCCGATGCCGCCGCACACGCTGACCGGCTATGAGACGCAGCCGCCGTTGGGCCCAACGGCACAGGGAACCACAGTTCCGGTGCCACCACCTCTGCCGCCAACACATATGCCGCCGTTGCTGCCACCGTATCCGGGCGCAGCTGGCGGCATGTATCCGCCGTATCCGATGCTGCATCAGCAGGAAATAGCAGCATTGCAGCAGCAAATCCAAGAGCTCTATTGCATGCCGCCCGGTCATGAGCATCAGCATCAGGAGAAGCTGATGCGGCTGCAGGAGCGCCTGAATCTACTGCAACAGCACGAGCTCGCCGAGCAGTGCGCGGGCGGACCGCAGTGTCTGCTCTACCAGAGCATGCCGCCCATGTACGGCAGCAGTGCGCTGCACAATCAGATGGTCGAGAGCCCGCAGGTGTCCAGCACAACGGGCAGAGGTCGTGGCAAGGGCGCCAACAAGCCGCGAAAGCCGCGCGCCAAGAAGGGCGACAAAGCGGCGGCCGCCGCCGCGGCGGCACTGCAGCAGCAACAGCAACAGGAGCTGATGGACATCAGCGGCAATGTGGTTGTGGCCGCGGCCAGTGCAAGCAGCAGCAGCAGCGGCATACCCACCACCCAGCTGCCCGTCTCCGAGGATTGCGTGACCCAGGGAGCTGGCGATACCAGCGTTGTGGGCCTGCTCGAGTATAGCGAGGGCATGGGCGATTTATCACAGGATGTGCATTCGGCCAATGAGCTGGACACCTCCACCGATGGCAGCGGCAAGAAGAAGAAGCCGCGCAAGCCACGCACACCCAAGGATCCGAACAAGCCGCCGCGTGATCGCACGCCCAAGGTGAAGAAACTGCGCGATCCCAATGATCCCAACTCAACGGAGTCACCCGCCGCCGGCGGACGCAAACGTGCCAGCGTCAGCAAGCGCCGCAAGCAGTTCGGCGACGATGGCGCCGAACAGACCGGCGACGGCAGCGAACTGGAGGACAACAAGCCGCTGCTGCCCAAGTCGAATGATGGCGAGGCCGAGACCAGCGCCGGCGGTGCCGGTGGCGTTGACGGTGAATCGCCCGACTATGATGATATACCCGTTTCGAAGATACCGCGCGGCGCCAACGACGATGACAAAGAGGCCGAAGCTGGCGATGAGACGGTCGATTCGGTGCCCGATTCGGCTGGCGATGCGGCCAGCACGCCCAGCCGGCGGGATCGCAAGCGTTCCACGGCGCGCAGTCGTCGCAATGCCACCTCCGAGGAGGGCGGCAGCGCCCGACGGAATCGCGGCTCGCTGAGCGCCAAGGCGCTCAAGAAGCGACGCAATCGCGGCCGTATTGTGCCCGAATCGGATGGCGAGGATGATACCATGGATCGTACGCCGCCGCCGTCACCACCGCCGGATTCGGAGCTTGACTCGAATAAGCGACGTTCGTCGCGCAACACTCAGCGTAAGAAGTACATCGATGACGTTATGCTGCGATTCTCCGATGATGAGAACTCGCTGCTGGTGGCCTCGCCGGTGAAGAAGGAGAAGAAATCGTCAGCGGCCAATGCGGCCAACTCCAATGCTGGCAGCGACGTGGAGAAGACAGAGCCACATTCCGGCGCCGAGGGCGAGGCCGGCAGCTCGGCGGGCGAGGAGAAGCCCTCGGCGGCGACGGCAGACGATACCAACAGTCAACTGGAGGCCAGTTCCAGCACCTCGGCGGCGGAGAAGGCGGAACGACAAAGTGCCAGCGATGCTGCCGCCGCCGCTGCCGCAGCCATGTCGTCCAAGCCCAACTATGTGTACATCAATACCGGCGACGAGGACAGCATGGTGGTGCAGTTTGTTCTGGCACTGCGCATGGGCAAGCGGGAGCTGATACCAGAACCGCCCAAGGTCAAGACGCCGGAGCCCAAGACAGAGGCGGAAATGGCAGAGGAAGCGGCAGAGCAGGCGGCAGAGAAAGAAACTACAGAAAAAGGCGAGGACAAGGCGGAGGTCAAAGCTGAAACGGAAGAGTCCACCAAAGTGGAAGAAGAAAAGGAACAACTGGAGTCGGAAGAGCAGAAAATCGAATCCGACAAAATGGAAGTTGATGAAAAGCCGGAGACAGTCAAGTCGGTGGCAGCAGAGAAAAACGAGGAAGAGACGCCCGACAAGGAGGAGGCGGAGAAAATGGACATTGACGAAGCTGCAGAGAAGGCAGCTGAAGAAACCCAGAAAATAGAGAAGCAAGAAAATGCAGAAGAAGAAGAAGCAGAGGCCAAGACTGATGAAGCAAATGAAACGCCAGCTGAGCCAAAGAACGAAGCAGATGAGGTGGAGAAGGAGCAAGACGAGGGTAAAGCAAAAGAAACGCACGAAGAGGAAGAGAAAGATAAAGATAAAGATGCACAGCCTGAAACAGCAGAGAAAATGGAGATCGATGAGGCTGCAGCCGAAGTGAAGGAAGAAGAGAACAAAGTAGAAGACGAGACAACCGCCGAGGCAAAGGCCGAAAAAGAAACTGAGAGCGACAAAGAGAAGCCGGAACAGACCGAAGAGGAGGCGGCGGCAGCAGTAGAGGGTGACAAATCCAAGGACTCTGAGTCGAAAGAGGATAAACCCGAGCCGGTCTTCATCGATGTGGAGGAGTATTTCGTTAAATACCGCAACTTCAGCTATTTGCACTGCGAATGGCGCACCGAGGAGGAGTTGCTCAAGGGTGATCGCCGCGTGGCCGCCAAGATCAGACGATTCCAGCAGAAGCAGGCACAGCAGATCAACATATTCGAGAACATCGAAGAGGAGCCATTCAATCCCGACTTCGTTGAGGTCGACCGTGTGCTGGACATGTCCGTGCACACGGACGAAAATAGCGGTGAGACGACAAAACACTATTTGGTTAAATGGAAATCGCTGCCCTACGAGGACTGCACCTGGGAGCTGGAGGAAGATGTCGACAATGACAAAATCGAACAGTATTTGCGCTTCAATAAGATTCCTTTGCGCTGTGAGTGGAAGAGCCGCAAGCGTCCGCATCCGGAGCAATGGAAGAAGCTGGAAAAGACGCCCGTCTACAAGAGCGGCAACAGCCTGAGACCCTATCAGCTGGAGGGCTTGAACTGGTTAAAGTTCTCCTGGTATAACTCACACAACTGCATACTGGCCGACGAGATGGGTCTGGGCAAGACCATCCAGAGTCTGACCTTTGTGCATTCGGTCTACGAGTACGGAATACGCGGTCCATTTCTGGTCATAGCGCCCCTCTCGACTATACCCAATTGGCAGCGCGAATTCGAGGGCTGGACCGACATGAACGTGGTTGTCTATCACGGTTCGGTCACCAGCAAACAGATGATACAGGACTACGAGTTCTACTACAAAACGGACAGCGGCAAGGTGCTCAAGGAGCCCATCAAATTCAATGTGCTAATCACCACCTTTGAGATGATTGTCACTGACTATATGGATCTGAAGGCTTTCAATTGGCGGCTGTGCGTGATTGATGAGGCGCATCGGCTCAAGAATCGCAATTGCAAGCTGCTCGAGGGTCTGCGCCAGCTGAGCCTGGAGCATCGTGTTCTGCTCTCTGGCACACCATTGCAGAATAACATAAGTGAACTGTTCTCGCTGCTCAATTTCCTGGAGCCCAGTCAGTTCTCGTCGCAGGAGGAGTTCATGTCCGAATTTGGCAGTCTGCGCACCGAGGAGGAGGTCAATAAACTGCAGGTGCTGCTCAAGCCAATGATGCTGCGACGTCTCAAGGATGATGTGGAGAAGTCACTGGCACCCAAGGAGGAGACCATCATTGAGGTGGAGCTGACCAATATACAAAAGAAATACTATCGCGGCATATTGGAGCAAAACTTTAGTTTTCTCAAAAAGGGCACCACCTCTGCCAATATACCCAATCTCATGAATACCATGATGGAGCTGCGCAAGTGCTGCATACATCCCTATCTGCTGAACGGTGCCGAGGAGCAGATCCAGTATGATTTTAAGGCACAACACGGCGAAGATCCCGAATCCTATTACAAGAATCTAATACTCTCCGCCGGTAAAATGGTGCTCATCGACAAGCTGTTGCCCAAGCTAAAGGCCAATGGACATCGTGTCCTGATCTTCAGTCAGATGGTGCGCTGTCTGGACATACTCGAGGACTATTTGGTCTACCGCAAGTATCCCTTCGAGCGTATTGACGGACGTATACGCGGCAATTTGCGTCAGGAAGCCATCGATCGTTATTCCAAGCCCGGCTCGGATCGCTTTGTCTTCCTACTGTGCACCAAGGCGGGCGGTTTGGGCATTAATCTGACAGCCGCCGATACTGTCATCATCTATGATTCCGACTGGAATCCACAGAACGATTTACAGGCCCAGGCCCGTTGTCATCGCATTGGCCAGCGCAAAATGGTCAAGATCTATCGCCTGCTGTGCAGGAACACCTACGAACGCGAGATGTTCGACAAGGCCTCGATGAAACTGGGCCTGGACAAGGCTGTGCTGCAGTCGATGAATACGCACGGCTCCAAGGATGGCAACAACAAGCAGTTGTCCAAGAAGGAAATCGAAGATCTACTCAAAAAGGGCGCCTATGGCGCCGTCATGGATGATGATAATGCCGGCGATAAGTTCTGCGAGGAAGATATTGATTCGATCCTAAAGCGACGCACACAGGTCATAACCATGGAATCGGAGAAGGGTTCCACCTTCTCAAAGGCCTCGTTTGCCGCCTCGGGCAATCGTTCGGACATTACCATAGATGATCCCGACTTTTGGACCAAATGGGCCAAACGTGTGGACATTGATCCCGATGCCTGTGAACGTGACGAGACCGAGGATCTGGTGCTCTCCGAGCCGCGCAGACGTACCCAGATCAAACGCTACGGACACGAGGATGTCATGGAGATTAACTCCGAGGACTCCTCCAATGAGAACAGCGACGAGGAGGGCGGCATAGGTAGGCTTAGATAATATTCCAAGGTTAATGCCAATTGATACTAATAAATCTATTTTTTTGGCCAGGTCTGCGCTCGCGTCGTCGCAAAGAGAAACGCGATCGGGCCCGCGAGAAGAAGGGCAACGATGAGTATATACCGCGAGAACGCGACGCATTGGCCGCCCTCGGCCTGGAGGAGATCCAGTATGGCAACTGGGCCAAGTCGGAGTGCTTCAAAGTGGAGAAGGGCCTGCTGTCTTTTGGGTAAGTGCTGACTTATTTTATTAGTCCTTATTCCCTTTTTTTATTAATCGTCGCGATATCTGCAACGTCGCATCACATTGTTCAGTTTCATGTTTAATATGTAGATCTTGCGCTGCAGCATTTTCTCCTCCTTCTCCAGATAGATGGCCTCCTCCTTCTTTTCAATATACTCTGTTACGCTGGGCGCCTCGAACTCCTCCAGCTGGGAGCGCAGCTCGCCCAATATGATGTGGTCCTTCTCATTGTTGGCCTGCACCGCGGCCACCTCCTTTTCCAGTTTGGCTATAGTGCGTGTTATTTCCTCGGTGCGATTGAGCACATTACGCATTTCGGTCTCCAGATTCATCATGGCCTGCTTCTCCTCGGTCATGGCCAGTGAGGTTTTGCCGGTGACACCCTTCAGGCCCGACATGTGTATGTTCTTCTCCTCCAGCTCGTTGGTCAGCTCTGTTCGCTTGATGATCAGCTTCTCAAAATCGACCGCTGTCAAAATGCCACTCAGATCCGCCTTGGTTATCAAATCGGCACGATGCTGCTGGCACGTCTCCTGCAGCGAGACAATGGTCAGCCGCATGGTGCCCAGCAGGGCGCGCGCATTCTTAAACCAATTGGCCGTAAATTTGCGCAGCTTGCGCTCAATCTGACGCTCGGTGGCGCTCTCCAGAAATGCGGCATCGTTCTCATCGCGTAGAAAATGTAGCATAAAGTTCTTCTCCGTTTCGATGGTCTCCTCGCTGCGATAATACAGCTCCTCGATTTTGGCACGCAGCTGCTTAACCTCAACCATGGCTGCAATTGGCAAATTATAAGATCATTCGAATTTAATTAGTTGATCCCATTCGAATGGAAAGCAGTGAACAAGTTGGTAATTGAATATCCGAGACCTACCATTTTTTTCTATGTCTATAACGCGCTTTTCCACCTCGGACGCCGCCTTTTCGGCCATTTCAGCCTTGGCCTTGTAGTTGAGCTTATGCTCAACTGGCTTGCGTCGCTCGCCCGTTGTGCTCATGCCGCCCATGTATATAGACGTGACCATGGATCGCTTGGAGCTGGAATGTCGACTGGATTGCTGTAATCCGTCCGATTGTGCTATCCGCTTGGTTTGCAATCGCTTCATTATTGAGGTGCGTCGCTGTCGCAGACCGACCAACAGCTTTGGATCGTTCTTCTCCAGAAAATCAACCATTATGTAGTTCTCCAGCTTGTATATGGCCAGCTCCTTTTGCACCTCTTCAATGGTGCGCAGCATATCCAAGGCATCCAAACTGAACAAACGTTGCTTGCGCTCCTCCTCCGACAATTGTAAATACTCTTCCAAATAGTATTTATACGAAATGCCAATGATGTCAAGTTCGAGCGGCTCGTTATAGTCTGGGCCCATTTGCATCTGGGATCTCCGCACATTGAATTTCGATTCATTTGTGACGATACTTTTCTGCGATACGCTCGCCATTTTGACGATCTTGCTTATGTTTTTGTTTAATTATGCAAACACCCTAAATAATATATGCCTAAGAATCTCGAATGTTTGCTAAAAAGCGGCGAGGTAGCGCTTAGTTCTCTTTCGAATAATTTTTAATAGCCGAAAAGTATTGTGAGTTGGTTTAATCGTATGCTTATATATGAAATAGAATTATTTATAATGTGTACAGAGACTTGTTACTACAAAGAATATTCATGATATGCCAACTATGTTATATATTATCTTACAGCTGGGGACGCTGGACGGAACTTCTCGAATTGGGTCAGTTCAAGCGCGGCTGGCGCGATGTGGATATCGAGGACTGTGCACGCATCATTGTAAGTATCAATTGTATATATTCCATATGTAATACTTCAATTCTTCAAATGATGACTAACCATGCTAATATTGAGAGAACTTTAGGTTTTCGCTGAGTAAAAACACAACTTCTCAACCCGCTGAACACACAACTCGCTACTCGCTGCTCGTTACTCGTTACTCGTTGCCATAAAACTAACGTGTATCTTTTGAATACAACTCTTACAGCTGCTGTACTGCCTGCAGGTCTACAAGGGCGACGAGAAGATCAAGACATTCATTTGGGATCTAATCACACCCACCGAGGACGGCGAGGTCCAGAAGATCAGCAGGGATCATAGTGGCCTACACAACTTGGTGCCACGAGGTAGGAATGCCAAAGGTATGGTAAAAGATACATTCACGCACTCCAACTGCTGCACGGACGTAGAGAGTTATCCAAATAAAAAAAAAACGAGCTGCCTCAAACTAGAATTTACTCGTATTGTAAAAAAAACACAAATTACTACACACTATATCTCTGGGCTGGACTACCTTATATACCTACCTAACAACTATAAATACTATGAATACCCAACTATTTTTGAACTTCTCAAAATGTGTTCAACTTGTGAGTCGATCCGCGCTCTGGCAGCTATTTAGTCTACTCCACTACATATATATATATATATATATATATGTTTATATATATATATATATCTGATCTATTCCTAACTGGGTTCTTTGTGAAACAATGCCTAACTGACGCCCTCTCAAAACCCAATACCAATACTCTGTTATCTTAACCAAACCAAATCAACCAGCCTGACCGTCTGTCCAATATCGGCTGTACATATATATATATATATATATATTATATAGAAATTAGCAACTGACTCGACGCGAACGGGACCTGACGTACGCCAATAACTGGTAAAATGTTGAAGAAAAGTGTGTGTATGTTTTGTTGCCATGCAATTGTATGCCTTTTACTATATCCTTTTATGATTTTTAATATCTATATAAATATATATTCCTTATTTTTTTGTGTAAATCTCAACTAACGTTTAAAACATGCCACATTAGTCAAAACAATCTTTATTGCTGTGCCATATTTTTCCATTACTAATCTTCGCGTGTCTACCTTGCAAATTTATTGTTCATTTATTTTGGATATATAGGGGATTTTTAAATAGCAGCTCTATTGTTCAACATTTCACATTCCATTCCATTGTTTTTATATATATCAAGAAGGTAAACCCAAAAGAAACTGAAAAGTAACTAAATTTGATAAAGTAAGCTTAGATTATGGAGCTCGATTCTTAAGGGTCTGTTTGTCTGCTCTCTAACTGTTAAAATTCGCAACTGGTTCTTTCTATTGTCATCAGTATAAACAGCTTGATTGGATTAGGACGCATCAAATTGAAAGAGAACTGTGATATTATCCCTTTTAAACTTCTATGTAAGAATTTATTTGAGATATGTTTTATGTGTTTTAAGAAAAGTTTATGATCGAAAGCAGTTTTTTACTTCAGCCAATCCTTAGCACTTATTTCCAAATAAAACTTGGCTTAACTTAACTTTTAAGAGAAATATTTTAAGATATATTTGTTTTTTATCCGGCATATTACCAACTCGCAAGGCTGCTCAGTCTTTAGTCTCATTCAACTTTAGGTTTTTTTTTTTTTAGAATTCTTTACAATTAAATCCAAGATCGAATTTGCAAGTGAAGCGCCACTTCGGCTAGTCGAAGCAATATTTCATGTCAACTTTTTTTATAGTTTATTGTTTTTTTCATCATATCACATTGTATCGTAACACCCGCTGTACATATATCGAGTAGTTGTCATGCATCCATTATCACATCCAGAGTTGAGCTCGTTCAGAGTCAACGGCACACACAAGGATTCGCCAATAAATTTCGTTTTTAACACGTTTACAGGACGCAATGGCGGCAAGTCGAACAAGGAGATGGGCGGCGGCAGCTCGACGCCAGCGCCCGGCACCGCATCCGGCAGCAACAGTGGCAACACAACGCCCGCCCACAAGTCCAGCGCCCTGGAGGCTGGAGGCAGCGACAAGGATCAGGGCTCGGGTATCAGTGCCAGCGCCGTGGCAGCTGCCGTTGCGCCCGCACCGCCCACCAGCATACACGATCCCAATCATTGGAGCAAGAAGGAGAAGTATGATGCGGATGCGTATCTGGAGGGCGCCTACAAGAAACACCTGGGCAGACACGCGAATAAGTGAGTCGTGTGGAATCGAATTTGTTTAAACTAACAAGCCCCCAATCCAAATGCCAGGCCGTCTTATGCTAACACAACCAAAACCTATTCTCTTTCTCTTCCCTTTGCTTTGATTTGTCACACACACACACACGCTTTTTTTATTGGTTATTTACACATTTGTGTGCTTTCACAGGGTATTGCTGCGCGTGCGAATGCTCTACTATATACAGCACGAGGTCATTGGCGATTTAGTGCAGCAGATTAAGGATAATACGCCCATCAGGTAGGCGCTTGCTTTACTGTACCAATGAGTACATTATCATTAACATCATCACATCATGATTGTTGTCGTTGATTGATTGACTGATTGTTGTTGCACTCTAAAAAAAAAAATAAGAGCGCCAAAGCATTCGTTTTATTTCTGTCTCTCTCTCTCTCATTTACTATATTCATATTTTTGTTTATTTTTTATTAATTATATTTAAAAGTATTTAGTTCGTGTTTTAATAGTGTGCCATGTTTTAATAGTTGTCTTTAATTACTATTATTAGCTACTAAAAAAAAAAAATGCCAATTTGTTTAACTATGCTAGTTTCTTAACTCTCTTAACTAAAGTACAGTTGAATCGTTTAAGCTCTTGAGTAATATTTCTGCTCTGGTTCTTTTAACTTTTAACTGCAGTTGTATTACTTTTGGGCACACTTACTCGCTTTTTTGTGAGCGCCCGCTCTCGCTATCTTAATGCTCTCTCTCTCTCGCTATATATATCTCTCACTCGTTACTAAACTCTCGTTACTAATTTCCTCTCGTTACTAAACACTCGCTCCCTGTTTAGACGTTCGAAACGTTTGTTCCATGCAACTTTTAATACATTTTGTACATTCCCCCAACTTTTTTCAACTCGTTACCTTTTTACCCGAAAAAAAAAACATATTACTAAATGGTCCGCATTGTAAGCTCAATTTTCTCTCGCTGTGTTTTGTTTTGCACATAAGAAATCTTTTGACGAATATTCTAATTGCTAATTTGAATACGAATATGTATATTATGTATGTATGTATGTATAAATATGTACACATTCACTGACAACTTTTGGAACAACAACAACAACAACAACTACGACTACAACAACAACAACAACTACTGCCGCAGTACGAAAGCAAAGCAACTAGCACCCAATCTGGAAAGGTAATATCTATGCACACATCTCGCTCTCGCCCGTTCGCTCGCTCGTTCGTTCGCTCGCTCGCTCGCTCGCACGCACGCATCCCGCCCACCATATCCGCCCATTTGAAGCGAATCAGGCGAATAGGGATATCAGAAAAATAAACTATATGCTCATATACATACATATATCGTCACATCGATCGATCAACGAAATGCTCTAAAACCAACGTTACATACAAATTATATGCACAGAATATACATCTATATAATTTTCCAAAAAATATTCCAAATTCCAAATCAAAAAAGCTGCATTAACAAAATTTTCCAAAAAACAAATATCTCTTGAGTTGCATTTTTGTAGTTTGTACTCGAAAGCCCGTCAAATGTGATTGATTTGTAAACTGTTTAATCCGTAGCACAAATTGGCAATTAACAAACCACAAAACACAAGTTTTATAATTTGTTTAATTTTCGTTTCGTATTATGCTTTATAGTTTTTCTTCCTTTATTATTATTTTTCTTTTTTGGTTCATTTGATTTACTACAAAAAAACAATGCATAAAATTTGTAAAAACAAAAACACAAAATTGTACTTAAAATTTTTACTAAACAACGCATTCAATTCTTATTCCCCTTCATCTATATATATCTCTCTCTCAATATACATGTATATATATATATATATATAATTACATATATATATATATATGTGTGTGTATATGTCGTATGTGTGTGTATATCTATCATACCATGTAGCGAGCTACCCATACGCCCGCCGCCAACGCCAGATCAAGTGCCATCCTCATGGTGGAATCCCATTTGTTGTGATAAGAGCCTATTGGTCGGAACCTATAAACATGGCTGTGAAATGTATCGTCAGATGCGCGCCGATCCGAATCTGTGCTTTGTCACCCATGTGGGCGCCGGTGCCGGTGACGATTTGGCCGTCACGAGTTTGCCAATGTAAGTAGAGTATATCAAAAAAGAAACAACCCTCTTCCACCTACCCACCCACAAACACAAACACACACACCTTCCCCTCCCACTCCTCCATACAAGCTATGCCTAAATAGGGTACCATTTTGCCGTATCGTAATACCACATAAGCCACAAGTACTAATACCACACAAAATATCCAGACCAGACTCTAGCCATATATGGAAATCAAACCAGGATACATCTGGTAGAAATAACACAAATAATGTGCACAGTTCAAAACAGGAATTGAAATTATTTTGTGTATATATATAACTAATAGAAATTATACCTAAACTAGCCCATAAATATCGCATTTAGCTTAAGTGTAATACATGAAGCTATTTGGTGTGACCGTATTTTGAAAAGGTTTACGAAATTTATTATGAAATTGAGCAAAGCACAGCAAAAATTATAATTTATAAGTAAACAATTCTAATTTCTGAAAAGTTTTTTAGTTTATTGATTATTCAAATTGTTACATCCTTTAGCACAGCTCAGCTCGACTATAAGATACCCCACTTAAGTTTACAAGTGTAGAACAGCTAATATAGCCAATTAAAACACATTACAGGGTATACACACGTTTAACCCACAATCCAATCAATTGGCCTACAGTAAACGGTCACACTGAATACTTGCTAGCCAAACGTTAAGTTTATACTGTGTGTGTGTGTGTGTGTCTGTGTGTGATTGTGTGCATGTATTTCACATGTTAGAATCGATTAAAATCGATAATTATCGATTTAAATATGGATCACTAAATGATGTGGTTTGCATTCACAGAAATGAGGACGACGCAAATTCAAAGCACGATGACGGCGACGAGGTGGACGACGATGGCACCACGACCACCAAAGATTCGGATTCGACAAAGCTAACGGCCGGCGATAACAAGGACTCGCTCGATCCGGAGCGCCCCAGTTCGTCGGGTAAGAGCGACAAGTGCGATAACAGCCAAGGAACCAAAATCAAAGCCGCCAACGCGGAACTCATCCCGGCTGTGGGCAATGGCAGCGCCGTCGAGGCCGACGCCACGGCAGCGGCGTCAGCAGCACCAACAAGCGAATCGGCACAAAAAGAATGCGAAATCGAAAATGAAAACGAAAACCAAATAGATAAAAACATTGAAAAGGCGAAAGCCAAAAGCGAGCAGCCCGTCGGCGAGGCAGAGGCCGAGGCAGACGTCGCCGAAGCTGCCGAAGCCGTCGCAGTTGATGCCGACTCCAGCTCAACGGCGATGGCCGGCGGCGATGGCGACACTGTGGCAGCCACTGCAGCGTCCGCGACGCCAAGCACATTGGACACTGAAATGGATGCGGCCAAGAGTCAAGACCAGGCCCAGGCCCAGGCCCAGGCCAATGGCAAGCCCGCTACGCCAGCCGATGGCGAAGCCGACGATGCCGCTGCCATTGCTACGGTCGAGTCCGGTTCAGATTCATGCACTAACGCTAATACCACCACCACCACCACCACAAATATCACCAATACCACCACCACCACCACTTCTACTACTATAACCACCATTACCAATCCATCATCCACCACAACAACAACTACTACAACAACGACTGCAGCGGCCCCTGGCGGCCCCGGGGAGTCAGCGGGTCAGAACTGCGAAAATGCTAACTCCAACTCAAATTTAGGCTTAGACGAGGAGGAGAGCGTCGCCGGCAGCTATCCGCCATCCACATTGGCCGCCGTCGAGGATGCCACAATGTGGCCATCAATGCAGGATCTCAATACACGATTACGTCGCGTCATCACCGCCTATCAGCGCAACTACAAAAAGGAGGAGCTCAAGCAACAGCAAAAGGCCAAGGTAAGTGCGAGGCTCGTACTCAACAATCCAGCTTCAAAAGCCACATACAACCCATCCCATCACAAGCTCCACATTATATACAATGTACATACATCTGTCACTTGTTGCGTCTGTTTCACACGGAAAACAAAAAAGAATGTCCGCTTACCCTTACTGTGTTTTATCCAGTATTATAGCTACACCAATATATCGATAATGTATCGATTACATATCGAGTTGATCTATTGAATATTTTGTTAATGTACAATGTACTCATCGCACTTCCAAAAAATCCAACTATCTAAAAAAACACAAAAGTGCTACAGCAAGAATGATGGAATTAATAAATTAAACTAGAAAAGTGTATCGATAAAATCGATTATTGATCGATATAGTTGACTGATTGACAAATCCGAAAGTAACTAGATGGAAAATTATATCTATCGACAGATATTGGTATTGTAACTGAAAAGATAAATTGCGATTAATATAATAATCTGCTGACTAAAATATCGATAATATATCGATAATAATATCGATAATAATATCGATTTAAAGATTACATATTTTGATCTGCCTATTTTCGATTTAATTATCAGACTGATACTGATAAATCGATTTGTGTTTCAATTAGATAAACTATCGAAGTATTAAAGTATCGATAAATCACTCAATATATCGAATGTGCATTTATCGTCTATCGATTGATTGTGTCTATTAGCGGATCGAATATCGATTAATTTTATAAAATATTTTTTGCGTTTCCATCATTCTTGCAATGGCCGATTGTATTACCTAAACAATTTGTGATTATCGTTTTGTATTTTGAAAATAACACACCAAAAACCAATCAAAATTCGTAGTGTCCTGTAAGCGGGACAAAAAAGAGATATTCAAGTATGTAGTTTTGTTGCTTAGCTGTTGGCCGTAGATAACTACTTGGCTTAGATTTGCGAAAAAAAAAACAAATTGTAAATGTAGTTAAAGTAGATATGAAACCGGAACTGGAACGTGGACTGACTGACGAATCTGGCGAACAGCCAACAGCTGATTAACAAAACTACCTGCGCAACCCACCTGCCCCCCGACCCCTCCCCCTCCCCCGCAACCGGCGAACAATGCCCATATGTTCTGTCTCGCTCTCTCTCTCTCTCTCTCTCTCTCTCTCTCAAGTCATTTTGGCAGCAGTAGCCACACACACACACACGCATATACCACACCCTCACACACTCGCTCTCATGATGTTAAATGTGCGCTATTCTTTGTAACTGAGTTCTTACCAACACCCAACAAATCCTCCTCCTCTGCCTCAACAGCTACAGGCACTGGTCTCCTCGACGCCGCCGCTCTCGGTGCCCACAACGCCGACGCTGCAGTCGATGCAAATGCAGATGCAGAGCGCCGGCGGTGGTGGCACCGTTGGCAATGCGGGCGCCGGCAGTGTCGTTGGCGCCGGCGGCTCTGTTAGCCAGCTCCAGCAGCAACTCGACTCGAGCAATCGCAGCCTGCAGGCGCTGATGCAGTCACAGGGTGCCAGCACCTCGGCTGCAGCAGCAGCAGCAGCTGCCGCCGCCGCCGCCGCCGTCTCAGGCAGCGGTTCGACACTACAGCACGGATTGGTGGGGCAGCATCAGCAGCAACAGCAGCAGCAGCAGCAACAACAACAACAACAACAGCAACAACAGCAGCAACAACAGCAACAGCAGCAGGTCGGCGGAGCTCAGGTGCCAGCCATGCCCACCGCCGCCGATATCAGCCTTATGCTGAGCATACTCAACACAACCGATGTCAGCCAATTGGCCAACTTGGATATCAACAAACTGGCCATGTATTTGGTTAGTATGAACAATGTACGTGAAAAGCATCTCTCTCTCTCTATATATATATATATATATAATATAATAATATATGATATTACAACACAATGCGCTAGCAAACCAAAACAAATAATCGCTTCCCATACATCCAAAACTTACCACCCCCTCAATAGCACTTTGTGCCCACAATATAACCCGCAAATCGGCAACATCATGCAGAACTTAACCTTAACACACCCTTACTCTCAGTCGGGCCTGCTTGGGCTTTAATAGACCATGACCAACCCACCCGCCAATCAAACTCAATCAAACGCCTTCCCCCACAACTCACCACACAACACTGACAATTACTTACCACACTCACACTCACACACACACATATATCATATAACGTTGCATTGATCGAACTAACCCTATTTTTTAGAGTACATTTAGCCAACTAATCAGCATGCCCTTTGCTTACACTTTTCTTATATAATTATAGAGTATTTCTGTGTGTACCTTAACTTATGTATTTGGTTTATTTGTTTACTAAAATTCAGGGTGTGTTAACTATATATATTTTAGTATACAACAATTTTAATTTAATCTGATATTTCACTTTTTAAAATGGTACTTTTTTTTTAATATACCAATTTCGTGGGGTGACTAAATACACTGCAATTAAAATGGTTTTTCAAGAATGAAAATGTCCGCTTGAAAGAAAAAAGAAATGCCAAACAGGCCTAAAGTAGATAGTTTTCCAAATTTTTACACATTTCTGTGTGTGTAAATTATAAAGAATTGAATACAATTCGATTTTTGGAGCGACTTATGACAATATAGTAATACGTTACACTCTAAAGCCCAGTAAAACCCCGAAGATTCGAGCTTTCTGTAGCTCTATGAAGAAAAAATTGCCCTTAAATTATTGACGAGCTTATTTACTATACTTAGACTAAGTATATGAAGAGTGATTTTTTCTTTTATGTAAACCGGTTTTTAGATATTTACTGCTTGCATTTTCTCATTTTGAGTGATTTTTGAGTGGAAAGTTAAATCAATAGTTTTGAGGTTATAATCGAGTATTTTTTAGTTTTTGCTGATTTATACCGTTGTCTTTTCGCGTTTCGATTGGTATCTGTGTTTATCGATAAGCCCCTTCGCTCGCGTGCATTCAAATGCGAATTTCAATGTGGAGTGGGAATAAATGAAGTGTGCGAAAAGTCAAAAGAGGAATTCTGGCAAGCAGCAGCAGCAGCAGTAAAAAAGAGGCGAAGTAAAATAAAATAAGTTACACCCACCGTGCGAGGTGGTGGCCGTCGCTGATTTCTGTCAACTACATACGAGTGTATAACTGTCTCGCTGTGCATGTGCATGTGTGTGTGTGTGAGTACTTCCGAATGTTCAAACAAAAGCAACGACGACAGCGCTGACAAAACGAGACGCAAGACAAGCCGCGAGAGCATCAGCAGCAGCAACGGCGACAGCGGCGAAAATACAAATACAAATACAAATGCGAATGCAAAATACACTTATGCTTAATTTATGCAAAATAAAAGAAGAAGAAGAAAAAAGCACACACACACACACACACAGAGAGCGGGCGACCAGCCGCATTTGAAGCCAGGCCCGAAATGTGGTGCACACGAGATGCTCGGGCGCGAATGAGCAGCCAAACGAGCAAACGAGAAAATGTCAAACCAGCCGCCCAAAATGCTGGTCGGCTTGGGGTTACCGTTACCACCTTCGTCGATAGTAGGCAAACAGTGAAGCCACAGACATGTTGCCCAACTGCTCTTGGGTCAAATTATGAGATGCGACTTGGAGATGGGAGTCAATTGTACAACCTGACGCGCATTTTACTGTAGCAATAACAACAACAGCGACGTCGACGCCATTATCAAAAGGCAAAGCGAACGCCAGCGCCATCAATCAAAGCAGCAACAACAACAACAACAATAACAAGAGCAGCAGCGGCAGCAGCAGTAATAATGAAGGCAGCGTCGACGCCAGCAGCAGCAGCAACAGCAGCAAGAAGAGCAAGCAAAACGGTCACAGGCAAAGCCAAAGCCGCTTTGTTGTTGTTATTGTTGTTGTATTGACGAAGTTCTTCTTTGGTGACGATGATTGTTGCCGCGTCGGCAGCGCGGCGTTGGCGGGCGACGATGGTCTCTGACTGTTGGGTATTGGAATCGGTATCGGTATCGGGTGGTTGTTGTTGCTGCTTCTGCTGCTGCTGCTGCTACGTTGGCTGTACTTGTGCGTCGTTGTTTGTATTAGTTTTTCATGACGACGCCTGTGTCTGTATGTGTGTGTGTATGTGTAATTTTACATTTTCTGGATTTATCCAATGTTTAATTTTTTGCCTTCATTGCCCACCCAAATGCTGTCGCGTTGCTCTCAGTCCGCATATCCGTATCCGTGTCGCCGCTCTCACGGGGCGAATTATTGAGCGAGACGATGGCGAATATGTGACTTGGTTGTGGTGACCTGTTCCGCTCCTGCTCCCTCGCTGCCTGCTTCTTACAGCCCGCGGCGCGTCAATAAAGCCAAAGCCTAATTGTGCTCATTTGAGCTCATCGCTGTTGTTGTTGTTGCAGTCTGCTCCTTTTGCTCCACTGTTCGTTCGCTGCCTGCTTTACGTGTTCTCTTTTCGCCACTTGCAGCAGCAGCAGCAGCAGCTTAAGATATTGTTGTTGCTGTTTCCTTTTTTCGATTTGCAACGTGTATTTAGAACACAAGCATAGAGTTGGCTTGCATGTGTGTGATTTTATGTATATACATACATACATTCTTGTGTGCGTGTGTGTGAAGATGTTTTCCATTCTTTTTGTGGCATCTTTCTGGTGTGCGATTTGCTTGGATGCTCACCTTGCTGACCGCTATTCGATTTATTATTTTATTAGCATTTGTTGCACAGTGGTGCAATTGCTATTATTCCTGCCAGCACATATTTTCAGTTAGTTGTTTGACTACTTTGCGCGTGCGTCTCACGTGTTGCTGTTGCAGCTGCTGCCGCTTCGGCGCATTCGTTTCACACCTGTCGGCCATAAATAATTCGAAGTTTTTTCAAGAAAACCTGCCCAGTGTGCAATGGTCAGTTCATTAAAAGTTGCATACATGCACACACACATACACACACACACACACATGGATGTGTGTGTATTGGGATACGTGTACGAAATGAGCCGATGTTGTCTACCTGCCTTTTGATTTAGTTTTGCGTTACGCTTTAGTCAAATTTACGACCACACATGCATAGAAAAAACGTCACACGCTCATACTCACACTGACACACACACACAATCTCTCACGTGCAGTTGCAGTTTCTCTCTCACCGGCCGATCATGTTTTTACATGTGTGTGTGTGCGCGCGCGTGTGTGTGAGTGTGTGTGTGTGTTTAGTCATATGCATTTGCTGAAGATGTGTCGCTGTCGCCGTCGATTGGCAGCCTGCTTTGTGCTGTGGCTGCTGCTGCTGGTGGTGGGATTGTTGGATGTGTATCTGTATCTTACAGATTGATTAATAATCTCGTTTTTATACACGACAGCGCGCTCTCGCTCTCTGCTTTGGCAATGGCTACGTGCTTATCGCACTTTGGTGCAGTTTCTATCTTTCGCATTACTTGTGTTCTTTCTGAATACACATGTATGTAGGCTACATATGTGTGTGTATGAACATATGTGTAATGTAGTATGCAGATTAGTTGCCCATGCCAAAGGTCGTATTAATTAAACTATAACAAGGCTCACGAATTGCGTTTGCATATGAACAATTTTCTAAATGTATTTCCTGTCACGTGTACGTATGTATGTGTGTGCGCGCACATTTTGTACCTGAAATTTTAATCCATTTCTCTGGCTATTATTTTATTTTATCCCTTTTATGCTGTGTGTCCTTTGCTTGATTGCGCCAACATCAGCCATCGCAGCCGTCGCAGTCGCTGCGTTTGCTGACTCCTCTACTTCTGCCTTGTCGTCAACAGTTTTTGTGGTACATTTGTTTCATTGCTTGGCTTTTTTGTCGTGTATGTCATGCCGTGTATGCCCCCCTTTACCATCTTTGCGCTACATATACATATATGAGCAAGTATGCGTATGTGTGTGACAGGCTCTGGCTTTGCCATTGCCTTTTGCTTACATTACACAGTTGACACAATGTGCGCTGCCTCCTCATTCTTCTTCAACTCGTCCATCTAGTGCACACAGACACAGAATAAATACATACGCTCTCGCCAGCGGCGCTCTCGCGTCCAATGCGCTCACTGTCTCTCTCTCTCGCTCTCGCTCTGTCTGCCTCTCTTGGTACTGCAAGTGACGCTTTGCCTTTGCCTTTGGCTTCGCCTTCGCCTTGCCGCGCTCATTCACCTCAGAGGACGGACGACAGGCTGTGACTGCCTTTCTGCCTGCCCATCTCATTCATATTCACATTCACCCAAAACGGCGTTTGGCTTAATCTCACGATTGTTTGGTTTCGTTTGGTTTGGTTTTTCTGCTCTGGCTCTGGTTCAGCTCTGCTCTGCTCAGCTCAACTCAGCTCTGCTCCCTCGCTCAATAGTAGTTGCTTGGCGTTGTTGGTTGTTGGTTTGACTAGCGACCCTCTCCCCCGTTCTCTACGTCGCCGTTACCGTCGCTGTTGCTGGCTGATTCGCATTCGATTTTAGCTGCTAGTGCCGCTGCCGCCGTCGCTGCTTCCGTGCGCGTATGCGTCCCCGTTGTGGTCTCTGTATATGTATGTCTGCATGAGTGTGTGTGTGTGAGGAGTGTTTCTTGTATTTAGTCCGCAATGCGCTCGCTCATTATTTGTTTGAGCGCCGCGGTGTAAAGTTGTAAAAAGTCCAAGTGCTTGAGCAGCAAACGCATCCATATCCAAAACAACGTTGTCGTTGTGTCGGGGCTTTACGTATCGGCGCGACCCGTCGTCTTTACATGTGTCTCTCCCTCTCGCACCCGCTCAATGCATGTGTTTGTGTGTGTGTAGAAGAAATAATAATAATCAAACGAATGGAAAAATGTAATTGCTGAAAAGCAAAAGTAGACGACAGAACGAGACGAGGCGCGAGACGATTGCGCGAGTGAAGAGTGGCGAGTGCAGACGTCGCAACAACAACAACAACTACAAGCACAAGCAACGTGCAAATGGCAAATGTGTCGCCGCAATGAATGATAATTAGTGCTTAATTAAAATCAATAATGTTGAAATCGAAAACCAATTCAATATTTGTGATATAGCATATAGATATGCATATACATGTATATATTATAATTGTAATTGTAAATTCAATTGCATATCGAAATTGAGTGTGTGCTTGTGCGTTTCTGTGTCTATATACATACATACATACATGTGCCTAAAATTGTCTAATACAAAATGGAGGTTATTAAACCCATGGATTTTAGCAGCTTCTCGGCCTTTTGCGAGCATCTAAATAAATCAACAGCAGCCGTTACAGCAGTAACAACAACAACAACAGCAGCGCCCACTTTAAACAATGGCATTTACTTGGAGGTAAAACTACAACATATACAAAAACTACAATGACAATGACAATTTATTGTATAAAATATGCAAAAACTTAATTAAAATGAAGGCAAATTGGCAAACGAAATAAATGTGAATGCAAAGAATGCGTGCAGCAAAAAAAGCTAAACTAAAAGAAACCGAAGAACAAGCAGAAGCAGCAATAAAAGTAACAACCAACAGCGGCGGGGCAGCAAGTAGTCAGTCGAGCCGCCGCAAAGTTAAAACGAAATACAAAACAATAAATTTATGCCTATAGATTTCACATGTACGAGCGTTGCCACTTACACGGCCAGTGTAACCCACTCTCTCAAAAACTCTCTCATACACACACACACACACATACACAAACAGAGGCAAACAAATAAACAAACACACGTTAACCAGTTGGGTGTCTCAGTGTGCGCTCATTTAAATTCGTTTTGCCGCCTCTGTCTCTTTTACCCCATTTCGCCGCAAGTCAAGCCGTTTGCCGTTGCCGTTGCTATTGCCATTGCTTGCTACTTACTAATAATCATAATCAATCGCTCGCACTTGTATCGTGCAAATGCCCGAAGAACAGGGGCGAATGCGAAGAAGTCGCGTATCGTCGCGTCGCGTGTCGTGTGCGCAAGCGAGATGGTATAAGATACAAATGGGATTGGGTCGGGTGGGGGCGTCAAGCAGAAGAGGTCGTTCGTTCAGTCTCTTTAGCTTGCTCGCTTTGTCGTTTGTTTTTGTTTGTCGTCCCCCCTTTATTTATTTTTTTTGGGCTATCGTTGCTTGAAATTTGTATAGCGAAGAGCCGTTAGCCTGCACATATATATATATACATATAAACACACACACACACACACTCACAGAGTGCTGCCAACCTGCGCCAATTGGCATCCTTGAAGCCAGACTTGCCAACATGGCTACGAGAGCATCAGCACACCCCCTCCCCACTCCCCCACTAAGGCACTTGACTGCAAGAGCCGTTTGCAGTTTTGTTGTTGTTTTGATTTGCATTCACACACTTGCACATTTAAAATAAATATGTATATGTTTTGTGCTTTTGCGTTATATTTGCAACCACCTGGCAACGCTGCCTAAGGAGTTGCCGACTGACAGCACATTTTTGGAGTGGGCTCTACCCCCGCCCCGCATTATTATTATTATCATAACTAACTACAAAACCGGCGCCCCTGCTTTAGAGTGTGGGGCTAGCCCACACACGAGAAATGTGCTTATGACTGTGTGTGTGTCAGTATGTGTGTGTGTGTGAAGAGAGCTTCTTGTGCTGGCCATGCAATTGGTCTCGCAGGATTCATTTGTTTTGTCTCCTGCTGCCTCCGCGTCTCGTGCTCAATTGTCGCTGTGGCATTTGCCCTCTGCCCGCTCTGCGTCGCTCGCTCTATTAGGGGTGTAAAATGGATTTTTTTTACTTTTATTATTATGATTTTATTGTATTTCCAGTTTCAGTTTCAGTTCGCTCGTATTTAGTCGGCGTCGGCGTCGTCGACGTCGTCGCCATTGTCTCTCATTTTGCCCCTTTGCTTTGCGCTCGCCATTCGCATTTAGTACTTTTCGCAAACATTTTTGTAATTTTGAAAGGCTGGCCCGGTACCGACCACCAACCCCAAGCACTACCCCCTACACACACACACACACACACACACACACACACACAACACCATTGAGAGCTGTCCTGGCAGCACCCACCCCTGATGCATCCCGTTATGTTGTTGATGATGATGATGATGATGAGGAGGAGGGGTCTCCGGGGGTACCCCGACGAACGCGTCGTTGCTTTTAATTTTTTTCTTTCTCAAATTGTGTAAATATTCGTAATGAATTTGCGCTGCATTTTTTTTTCCCCTCTATACCCTGTACCCATTGAAGTGGACAGAGAAACGGGTATAAAAGTTTCCTATGAACTATTAGAGATAGCGGGATTTTTAAGCTTTCCATTAAGGGAGATTATGAAAAATATATGTCAAGTATTTGGCGGAGCTTACAAAAGCTGGAGGCGTACCAGGTTGGGTATGTTGGCTTTTAGAAATGCAGAACATTTCACTTGTTGAATTTTCTTGTTCAGTTTCTCCAAGCTTTGCGCTTTGATAAATCAATTAAGTTTGATAGCATAAGAATATGAAAAATTGTTAAAGATTGGATAATGGACATTCAAGTTTCGAATGTACGCTACGACAACTCACCGCCGAGTACAGGGTATTTCGGAGTCGCACACTGTTGACTAGAGGATTTATACTTGCTCTCTTTTGGACTGGTTATCGGCAGTCAAATTGCATGGCCATATGACCCCCTTGCTACATAAATAGATATATATATTTATAGTATATACGTGTATGTACATCCATCTTTCAGCTAGAAGGGCCTTATCTTATCTTACGCCTGCCTTTTGGTATGCCATGAATGGGTAACGCTTGTAAAGTAGCCAAGATTATACTACTTCGTGTCTGATGATGCCTCTTTAATCTATTAACAAGTCAACACACCGAATCGGGTTGAGTCAGCAGTCATGAGAAAATTGTGATTAAATAAGAAATCGAATAAGTAAGCAACAGAAATATATAGGGAATTTCAAAAGAAAATACTTAGTTATATAAATATATTAGAAATATTCAAGTAAATAGACATACAAACTGAATGATTGCATAGTCTAGGATTACATATTGCCTTGAAATATATGGTATGTACAGCATAAAGATAATCAGGAGTTATTATATATAGATACAATGGGAACTATATACAATTTATATACATTTTATATACAATTTATACATCTAAAAAAGAGGACGAAGTTCTTTTGGGAAAATGCACCTATATGGGCGGAAAAGGGGTGAAATGGGATTACAATTTAAAGAAAACCCAATTGGACTAATTCAAAAGTAATTTCATATCATTTATAGTAAGACCTCATATCGAACTCTACCAAATCCCAAACCACACAATACAATCCATATTTAATATATATATTTAATCTATTGCTTATGCAAATCGCACTCATGCAAAACTCCCTAATCTTGCAGAAAATGGAGCGCCAGGGCAAGATGGAGCTGGCGGCGAAGGAGCGCGAGTCGCAGCGCCTGCAGCTGATACCCAAAAAATGGAATCGTCGCGAGGAATATGAGTTTCTGCGCGTGCTCACCGGCTACGGTGTCGATATGCAGCTGAGCACATCCATGGGCGGCGGCAGCAGCAGTAGCCACAGTCCCGACTGGACCAAGTTCAAGCAGATGGCACATCTGGAGCGCAAAAGCGACGAGACGCTCAGCGACTACTATAAGGTCTTTGTGGCCATGTGCCGGCGCCAGGCGGGCCTGAAGCTCAGTGAGAACGAGCGCGGTCTGGAGGGCATCATCGAGGAGGTCGAAAAGGAGCACGCCAAGCTTATACTGGATCGCCTCGAGCTGTTGGCCAAGCTGCGCGAAGTGGCCCGCAATCCCCAGCTCGACGAGCGGCTCAAGCAGTGCGCCATGAACACCGATACGCCCGACTGGTGGGAGCCCGGACGGCACGATAAGGAACTGATTGCGGCCGTGCTCAAGCATGGTCTTTACCGCTCCGAGACGTTCATCTTTAACGATCCCAACTTTAGTTTCTGCGAGTCGGAGAAGCGTTTCATACGCGAGCTCGAGGCACAGATTCAGCGCACCATCAAACTGGAGGCCTTCAACGCCGAGAAGGCCGAAAAGGCGGCAGCCGCTGAAAAAGCAGCTGCAGCCGATAAGGCAGCTGCGGCGGCGGCGGCGACGGCAGCATCGGCAGCTGCAGCAGTGAAGCACGAGGTTATCGATCTGGATGATGAGCTGCTCACCAAGGAGAGTGTCATCAAAAAGGAGTCGCCCGTCAAGGCTGAAGTTAATGCCGAGCAGAGCACAGACAAAGCCGAGGTCGAGGAAAGCGAAGAGAAAACAATGAATAAATCAGCAACAGAGAAAATGGAAGAGGATGAAGTAGTCCCAGCCGAAAAGGCAGACAAGGAATCGCTGGATGAAGCCAAGCTGCTGCCCACTGAAGCCGCCGAAGAGGCAGCGGAAGCTGAAGCCGAAGCAGAAACCGTAGTCAAGCCCAAGGAGAGCGAAGAAAAAATGGACGTGGATGAGCCAATTGCGGAAAATGGCAACGAAAAGGAAGCCGCAACCGAGGCAGATGCCACGGCCGACGCCGATAAGCCAGCCGAAAGCCTAAAGTCAGAGGCAGCCGAAACAGAGAAGTCGAGTGAAAAGGCGGAGGACAGTCCAATGGACACGGAGCCCGCCAAGTTGGCAGTTGCCGAGGAAAAGGAATCCGTCGAAGCATCGGAAGAGGAAGCGACAGCTGTCAAAGCAGAAGCAGCAGCGACCGAGCAAAGCGACGAGATCGTTGAGACCGCTGCCAAGGAAAAGCCAGAGGCAGATAAGGAACCAGCTGCAGCAGCAGTCGAAAGTGAGTCCAAGAAAGTCGAGGCCGAAACGGATGCCAGCAATACAGGAGAAGTCGCCGCGGAGGTCAAGAGCGTTGAGAAGCCGCCCGCAGAACAGGAGATACTCGACCTGGTAGCCGGGCCCAGCGATCCCGATGACGACGAGGTCATGAAGGAGAAGGAGAAAGCCGTTGAGGAGGAGTGCAAAAAGCAGGCAGCCGAACTGAAAGCACGCTTTCCCGATCTTGAGGTCATTCAGCCGGCGACTGTGAAACAGCAAAAGCTGGAGAAGCCCAAGCTGGAGATGTGCATGATACGCTGGTTCAAGGACTTCGCCCTGGAGCGACGCATCGCACACATCGTGGTCTGCGTGGAGACGAACAAATGGCCCGTGGACAAGCACTACAGCGCCTTTGCCGGCCTAAAGGGCACCACAGACCTCAACATTGCCCTGCACGAGTCCATACCCCATCTGAATAGCAGCGAGCGACGCTCGACAACGCCCGACGTGATAACCATAACTACAGATCAGGGTGTGACCAAGCATCTGCAGGCCTCCCAAATGCAACAGGTGGCCAGCAATGCGGCGGGCGTTTCGTCAACGGGCGGCAATGTGCAGTCGGTGCTGCCGTCGCCCAAAACGCCGGTGGCGGCGCCCACCACGCTGCCGGGCCTGGATGCGAATAGCATCAATGCAGCTGTCGCGGCTGCCGTCGCCGCTGCGGCCAGCGGCGGCAATGCCACATCCTTGTCGGCGTTGCTGCCGGGCATGTCGTTGAGCGCGGCAACGGCCGGCGCCAGTGCGGCAGCGGCTGTCAGCGCGGCGGCGGCAGGTCTAAATGTGCCCAGTGCCGGCGGCCTGGGCTCCAATGCGGGCAAGAAACGCAAGCGACACATTGCCATCGACGTGGAAACGGAGCGTGCCAAGTTGCACGCGCTGCTCAACAGCTCGTCGAGTAAGTAAAGAGTTGTAGTTAAATTGTAAAGCCAGCAATTAATCAAATGTCATTTCCCCCTTTTATAGTGGCGCCCAAGGACTGGGAGAGTGAGATAGCCAACATGGAGGCTTTAACGGGCGCTCGCGACGGTCGACGCGGCGGCTCGAGCGCAGCTGCCTCGGCGGCCGCTTTGAGCGGCATGCAACCGCCGCCCGCGCATCAGCACGCCTCGCTGTCGCGCCAGTCGTCCGGGCAGTTTAATAAGCCCGCTGTGCCGGCACTGAAAACGCCACCACCTTCAATGGGTGCACCCATGGATCTGTCCTCCAGGTGTGTAATCCTTGAGCGCAACTGCCATCTTAGCCCTACCACAATTTCAACTCTTTCAACTCTGTCCCACAGCAGCCTGCCCAAAATGAATATGACGGAAATGCTTAAGTCAGCGTCCAGCGCTGGCGCCATTGATCTGAGCGAGGTGCAAGACTTCTCGATGCCTTCCAAGAAATCGAGTGTGCATGCGGCGCTTAGCTCCGCGTTCCCCTCAATGGCCGGCAGCAAGAGCAAGCTAGACGACACGCTCAACAAGCTGATGAAGAAGAACAATTGCGTAAGTATTTGCGCTGGAGAGGCAATAGGCATGACCCCCATGCTAATCATTGAAATCCCTGATCCACAGACCATTGAGGAGCCGGTCATAGGCAAGGAGAAGAAACGCAAGAAGCTGGATGAGATTGTGCTCGGTCTGTCGGCGGCCAAAGAGCAAAAGACCTTCCCGGATCCATCGCTGCCCTCATCAAAGAAACCACAAATACCGCCCAGTGTGTCCGTGACGCCCGCCAATCTGCAGGCGCCCAGCCAGCAGCAGTCCAATCAGAAGCCATTTACCATCACTGTCACGACAGTGCCCGGAAGTGAGTTGGAGTCTCTGCGCTTTCTTTTCTAAAAGCCAAGCCGAGGCGCTCCCATAGTCAACAACAACTAATCTCTCCCTCTCTCTCTCTCTCCTCTCCTTCTGCAGAGTCCAAGAGCGGCGGTCAGGGCAGCGGCAGCGGCGGCGGCGCCAGCAGTCCCTCGGGCAGCGGCCTGAGCGCGCTGCAAAACATGGCCATGGGCGGACTTTCGAGCAAGGACAGCCTCAATGCTCTGCTTGCCCAGACGATGGCCACCGATCCGCAATCGTTCCTCAAGCAACAGCAGAAGATGATGCAGTTCCTGCCGCCTTCACAGCGCAAAGCCTACGAGAACATGCTGGCCGAAATGGAGCAGGCGATGAAGCTCAGCTCCAAATACAATTCCTCCCACGACGTCAAGGTCAACAAATGGCTCTCGGACATGACCAATCCACTGGGCGATCAGCTCAGCATTGATTATGTTGGCGCTGGCAACGCCGGCGCTTCTGGCAGCAGCAACAGTCGACGCGGCAATCGCCAGCAAAGCAGCAGCTCCAGCGCCCAGCAGGCGGCCAATGCAGCGCAACTGCAAAAGCAGCAACAGCAGCAGCAGCAACAACAGCAGCAGCAGCAGCAACAACAGCAGCAGCAACAACAACAGCAACAACAACAGCAACAGCAGCAACAACAGCAATCCTTGGCTGGTCCGCAGGGTCTGACCGGGGAGGAGCCGGTGCCGGTGATCAACAAGCAGACGGGCAAGCGGCTGGGCGGCAACAAGGCGCCACAACTGAAGCGCCTCATGCAATGGTACGTGGCAACAAATGCCTGCGACTTGGCATAGCTAGCAATTTATCAAAGTACAGTGATGGCTCGCTAATTGAAACATTTCGGATTCGCGGCAGAATCCTAACTGAAGAGATATACGCGTATAAATCAATGCGAGTATGCTATTAGGATATTACATCTTGCTAAAAATTCAGCTGGAATAATTCTCTATAAAATTATAAATACACGTTTTTATTAGCGAGCGGTCACTGTACTTAAAAGAATTCGCGCGCGTGTGAAAAATAGGTGGAATTGTTTTGTTCGGAAAGATTTCATTAAGAAACTTTTATTTGATGTGTGAAGATTTTATGCAAATCTTGATACATGAAAATTCAATTCAAAAATATTTCATTCGCAAGTGTGGAAAATATATGAAATCGTTTCGTATGGAAAGTTTTCACATGTGTATATGATATGAGAAGGTGATTTTGTGATTTCACCCGCACAGACGGAAACTGGGTGGAATACTCAAAATCTTAAGGATAATTGGCTCAGACAAAGCCTGGTATTATTATTAGCTTGTATACAATATAAATTAATTTCTATGCTTTTCCACAGGCTCACCGATAATCCCAACTATGAGGTGGATCCCAAGTGGCTGGAGCAGATGCAGAATCCGATGTCGGCGCCATCACCAAAGCCCAGCGCCAGCGGCATGGACAACAGCAGTGGCTACGGCGGCGGTGGCTCTAAATCACACGGTGGACGACCCTCCTCCAATTCGAGCAACGCCTCCTCTGGCGGCCACACGCAACAGCCGAGCGCCGCACAGTCGCCGGCGGGCAATTCGAGCGGCTCGTCGAAGAAGTCGTCGAGGCAATCGCAGTCGGCGGCCGCCTTGGATCAGGCGGCGTTGCAGTTCGGCTCGCTGGCTGGCCTCAATCCCAATTTGCTGGCCAATTTGCCCGGCTTGGGCGGCTTCGATCCAAAGAATCCGCTCGCCGCGTTCGATCCGAAGAATCCGCTGCTGTCGATGCCATTCGGCGGCATGCCCGGCATGGGTAATCTGCCCGGCCTGGGCAATCTGAACAACATGAATCTGTTCGCCAGCCTGGCGGGCATGGGCGGCCTGGGCAATCTGGCCGGCATGGATGCCCAGTCGCTGGCTGCGCTCATGGCTGCTGCGGGACCAACGCTCGGCGGCCTCACAGGCAGCACGAGCGCGGGCACCGGCAAGAGCCAGTCGCAGTCCAGCGCTGGCGGCAACTCCTCCAGCGCCTCGTCATCGGCGGCCAGCAAGAAGAAGCAGCAACAGAACGAGGCCGCGCAGCTGGCAGCAGCCGCTGCCGCAGTCAACAGCAGCGCTGGCGGAGGATCGGGTGGCGGCAAGAATGCGGGCGCATCGGCATCGCAGCTGGCCGCCGGCTTTCCGTTCCTGTTCCCCAATCCCTCGCTGCTGTATCCGCCCATGGGTCTGGGCGGACTCAATCCGTATTCGCTGGGCTCCAGCGGCCTGGGCTCGGCCTACGATCAGCTGGCACAGCAATATAATCTGCTTAACGGCGTGGCCACCTCCTCGGCGGCCGTCACCGGCTCGACGCAGTCGGCCAAGTCGCATCAGTCGCAGTCGAGCAAATCGAGCAATTCCCGCAACGCTGCCAACTCGGCGGCCAATTCGGCGGCCAACCTAATGAACGCCATGGCCAGCATGAGCGCCGGCACAGTGACAACGCCTTCGACCAGCTCCAGTCGCAGCCGCCAGAGCAGCAATCAACGCAACTCGGCCGCCTCGGCGACGCCCAGTGCCGCGGACATGGCACAGCTGTCGAGCCTGCTGATGCCCGGCGCCGATCCACATTTGCTCGAATCGCTCAGCCGCATGAGCAGCATGGACCTGGCCCAGGCGACGCGTCTCATGAGCTCCCTGGGCATGCCGCCGCTGCCCACGCCGAGCAGCTCGAACAACACCAGCAGCAGCAGCTCCAGCGCTGCCAGCAAACGTGCCGCAGCTGCTGCTGCTGCCAACGAGGCGTCCGCCAAGGAGCAGCAGAAGTGGTTCGAGAGCATAGCGCGCGGCGCTCTGCCAACGGATCTGGCCGCGCTGCAAGCCTTCTCACAGGGCAAAATGCCCAGCACGTCCAGCTCCGGCAACAACAACAACAGCGGCGGCGGCTCATCGGCCAGCAAGAGTTCCAAGTCCGCCGCAGCTGCCGCCGCTGCAGCAGCAGCAGCCGCACAGCTGCCACAGATACCGGGCATGTCCAGTGATTTCTCGCAGGCGCTGCTCGCCGAGATGGCCGCCCAGGCGATGGCCGCTGCCGGCGGCTCATTGCCGCTCAGCGGTCCTGGCTCGTTGGCCAGCCTGGCTGGCCTCACCGGCGGCGCATCATCTTCATCTGGAGGAGGTGGCGGTGGCGGCGGCGGCGGAAGCAGCAGTAGCAGCAGTTCGGCTGCCAAGCGGCAGCGCGAACAGGATGCATTCAAGCAGCAAATGGACTTTTACACCAAGTCGCTGGGCCTGGGCTCGGGCATCTCGCTGATACCCACCTCATCGGCCAGCAGCAGCAGCCTCAATGCCGCCTATGCGGCCGCCCTCGATGCGGAGCATCTGCAGCAGCAGCAACAACAGCAGCAGCAACAGCACAAGTCGAAGCGTGCGCGCAGCGAGATGCATCCCACGAAGGATGAGCTAGCAGCTGCCGCGCTGGCCGCCGGCTTGCCGCTCAATTTGGGCGCCAGCATCGAGAAGAGTTTGCGCGGCGTAAGCGGCTCCAGCAGCTGCTCCACGCCGGCGCCGACGCCCACGCCAGAGCAGGATAAGGTGACGCTGACGCCGTTGAATGCGAGCTCCAGTGCCGCCAACAATGCGGCGATTGCCGCGAATCTGCCTTCACAGACGACCATCACGATTGCGCCGCCGATCAGCAGCGGCGCGAGCACCAGCAGCGAGCGCTCCGAGCGCAGCGAGTCGCGCATCTCCCTGACCATAACGAATGCCGCCGATGCGGCCAAGCTGCCGCCGCCCTACGAGGAGGCTGACGAGCTCATCATTCAGCCCATACTCAAGAAGCCAGCGGCTCCAGGCAGCAGTCACAGCGGCAGTGTCGAGGATCTCGATGCCAGCGGCGGCGGCGGCGGCAACAACAACAACTCGGCGGCAAATCTAAGCGGCTCCAGCAGCAGCAGCTCCTCGGTTGCCGCGGCGGCGGCGGCAGCAGCAGCAGCTGCTGCTGCGGCCGAAGAGAATCGACGCTCTTCCAATCGGCTCAAGCGTCCACGTTCCGGCAACGAGCACGGCGGCTCCGGTGCGACGGCAGCGGAACAGCCGCCCGAGAAGCGACGTGAACTGCGCTCCACGCGCCACACACGCCAGTCGGCAGATGCTGCCACGCTAAATCTGTCGGCGGGCAGCGAGTCCGAGGAGCGGAACGAATGAGTAAAGCGAAGCGCCTAGCCAAACGACAGCGCCCCGCCGGTGGGCGCCCGAACCAGACAGGGCAACAAAAACAACAACAGCAACAAAAACAATAAAAAGAGCAAAAATGATAACAAAAAGAGAAACCAAAAGCAACGGAAAAAGGCCACGAAGAAGCAAAAGCAGAATCAGAAGAGGAAGAGCCAAACGAGTAATGCAAACGGAAACGGAAGCGGAAACGGAAGCGGAAGCGGAAACGGACGAGCAGCGGCAAAAGCTGAGACAAACGCACGCAAATTGAACTCAAGGCTAAATGTAACGAGTACGCGAACTAGTTCCAAAGCGAGAACGAGAAGTCGAACTCGAACGCGAACGAGTACGCTAACGAGAGCACGAGCGAGAAACTGTGCGAACAGGAGTAGTAGATCCCTTAAGCTTAAAGTTGTGTAAAGTATAAGTAAACCATTATATATATTTATATATATATATATATATATATATATATATATATATTACGCATATATATATAAACATATACATTTAAAGCGAGTAGAAGTGGCGAGTGAGCGGTCCCGGGATGCAGCTGCTGCTGCTGCGCGCCAGGCTTGATCCCAGTTAGGCTTCCGTGTGGACAGCAGCGGGCGCAGATGCTGCAACAAACGTCGCCCGCTGCTGTGGCACACATGGGGCCCGCCAGCTCACCTGGTGCGCACCTGCAACCCGTGGCCAATGCTGAAAGCGGGGAAACACCATGCAACAGCTGCCACGCCCCCTCCTATGCCTCTTCGCCGCGCTCTGCTGCAACTAATGCGTTAGGCGAGGTAGGGCGGACGGGGGAGGTGGTTAGGCAGGTTTGTTGTGTGCGTTTCGTATGATTAACGAGTATATTAAAAAAGCGCTTATAATTTAATTGTAACAGAGAGGGGGCGCGGGCAGGGGGCAGGGTTCTGCTGCTGCTGCGCCCAACCCCACCCCCAGCCTCCGAAAAACACGCAGATGAATAACGGTTTAAATTATTGCAAATTATTATTGATAACTGATAAGCAAAAACAAAAACAAAAGCAAAACAAAAAAAATGTTTAAACAGCAAACTAACTTAAAAGCAAATTGACAAAAACACACACACACACACACAGTCTCACTCTCACACACACACACACACACACACACACACACCTATTATGATGTATACACACACAAACACACACATATATATATATATATAGATATGTAGCATTAATTGGGTTCAATGCTGTCGTCCTTTACAAGAGTTAATCTTAATCACAAAACAAAACAAAACAAAAAACAACAAAAAACAAAAACAAAACAAAAACCTGTACATATTTTAGTATCTTTAATGGATCTTTAATCATCAAATCAAATCGGATCGTATCAGAATCCCAATTCATGTATTTGCACTCCATTTGTTTGATTTCATATTTATAATGATGATGTGTGTATGTGACCTAATTCCCGATCCTAACTGTGTTTTCTTCATTCACTTGGTCGTCCTGCCTATGTTATATTTGTGTACTCGGTATGTCCTATATACATATAAATATATACATATTCACATATACATACATACATACATACATATATATATATATATATATATATATATATACACATATATATATTGACGTTGTCGTCAAATCGCTTTTAATTTTATAATTTTAATTATGTAATTAGTAAAACAATTTATATTGCATAAGTTTTAATTTGTATTCTGTATGTTTTTAAAAATGAATTGAAACCAAGCAACAGCAACAACAACAACAAGAACAACCACACGAAAACACAACAAAAAATGTTTATTGACAAATCGATTATTTTTTTTTTCAACACAAATCAATATTTATGTACATGTAATTGGCGAGTGGCCCGTTTATATGTATTACATTTAAATTATATAAACTAAATGGAAATACGATTTTATTTGCACTGCGATCCATTAAACTACAGCTAAAAATAAACAATATTAAAGAAAGAAAGAAAACAGTTGCACCAACAGACAAGAGCAAATAACAATTTAAATTAGAGATGCTAAGTATAAATCTTAATTAAAGTATGATAATTACAACACAACTACAGCAACAACAACAAGATAAATATATGAAAAATAAATTTCCAAAATTACAACAAAATACTGATTTATTATTTTCTTTGAATGCAGATCGATGCGGTTGGCTCTCATGATTCGGGCGCAGCAAGTCCTTTTAAAATTGGCAAGGATATAGCCAACTTATGGCTGTTTTTCTAAAAAGGATACGAACACAAAATCGACCATAACCTGGCCAATTCAAGTACTATCCTGACGTCCTTTGGACAACAGATAGTCCTTGCCCAACCAATTCAGAATAAGCAATAAAAAGGACGAACGTCCTTCAAGGAGCCAAGATATAAGGAAGTCTTTTTTGTACAGAAAAAAGATGATTATTCGCCCGTGTCCTTGCGGATCCTAACGGGTCCTGTGTCGAACAGTTTCTGTGGCTCAGGGCTACCAACTGGCCAAAGGACATCAAAATCGTCCTTGTAGTTTCAGAAATATGGCTACTTTTCTAAAAAGGACATTCTTTTTTTAGCCATATCTTGGCCATATCCTTAAGGATATCGGAAGGATATACCTTTTTAAACTCGTGAGAGTCAGAACTATCGATTGGCATTCAAGGATTTCAAGGATTCCACCAAAAATTTTCCATTATTTTTTCCTAGGGGGTAGGTCGCAAAATTGGCCAAAATCGAAAAAATCCGGGCTAACTTGGCCATTTGAAGGACTATCGGGATGTCCTTTGGCCAGTAGATACTCCTCATCGTCCCAATTAAGAATATACCATCCAAAGGACGATAGTCCTTCAAACAGCGAAGTTTTAAGGACATTTTTGTGAACAGAAAATAGGCTATATCTCGGCTGTATCCTTGCGTATCCTGACGAATCCTGTGTCAAATAAATTGTACGGACCAGGGCTATCATCTGGCCAAAGGACATCAACATCGTCCTTGTAGTTTCAGAGATATCAAGGATTTTGTGTTTTAGGCTTATTTTCCTTGCCGGCCGCGACGAAAATTTGTCAAGTCCTGCATTCTTAGATGACCCCATAATGTTTTGATGCAGATCGATGTAGTTGGTCCTTACGATCCTAACGCACCGAATCCTTTGAAAATCTGCAAGGATATGGCCGAGTTATGGCTATTTTTCGAAAATGTTATACATCACAAAATCGGCTATAACTTGGCCAATTCAAGGACTATCCTGATGTCCTTTGGTCAGCAGACATTCCTTGTCCAGCCGATTTAGAATATGTAATGAAAAGGACGAAAATCCCTAAGGGAGCCAATGACAAAAGGACATTTTTTGGTACAAAAATAGCTCATAACTCGCCCATATCCTTTCAGATCCTGACGAGTCCTGCGCCAGAAAAATTGTATGGGTCAGGAGTATCAACTGGCCAAAGGACATTAAAATCCTCCTTGTAGTTTCCGAGATATTCAGGATTTTCTTATTTTCACATATAAGTGCTCGCTTGCGCGCATTTAATATTTAAACATTAACGGTCGCTAGCTTCCGCAGCGCTGGGCCACTTGGCTGGCTCGATTTTAACAAAAATCCAGCTGAAGTACCAAGCGAACAGAAATGCCCAGCAGGTCGACAAAAATTTCTGAATAAAAATTTTCGTTGCATACCCGCACGGGGCAAAAATGTTAAGTTGCTGGTGACTTGCAATTTTCTTAACAGACGACTGTTAGGCAACAGTTACAGAGCATGTTAAAGGGCCGCTGTAAGGACGGCCGTTAAACTAATGTAAAAGGGGTGCTGAAAGAAAAAGCATGCATGTTTGTGGACCATTTCACTACAAATTTTGCAAGAAATCGGACCTTTAGGTTCACCAGGACTGTATCTTTGGTATGGTATAACCAAGGATACGGAGGTCAACTGGAAACCATCGAAGAGGGAGTATTTTTCCTGTTGTTTTTGTTTTTACTACGCAATTCATAGATATATGCATGTATATTCACAGTAATCGAGTTTAACTTAACTAGAGGCAATAAAAGCTGCTTTTAGCAATGCGATAAATCAAAATTTCGGTAGATAAATTGACGTCTAACTCTAATTTCGCTGCAAAAATATCGTTGGAAACGTTGTTTCACTTGTTTAGGACCGATCGCTTATGCCAATTGAAGTGTTGGGTTTGGAAAAGAACTTACAATAAATACAAAAACGTACAAACATGTATAATATACAATGTATAAATCTGTGCATTAGCATTTAAAGCACTTCAACAGCGTAGCCCCCCGCGCCGAAAGGGGCCACACCTCGACACGATAGTAAACTTTGAGTCTTAAAGGCTATAGAGCTAAATAGTTTGCGCATGTTTATGCCCTCGGCTTGGTATGGTTTTGGCTTTGCTCCTGGCTCGAACTATATGTGTTGCATGAAGAGGGATCGCTCGAATGCCTCCTCGAGCAGTTCCTGATTGCGTCGCTTCTCCTCCGGCGTCAGCTCGCGCAGCTCATCGAAGCCATCATCCGAATAGGCATTTTCATCGTCCTCTCGCTCCTCGCCAGCAGCCAGGGGCAGCAATGGCTCGCCAATGATGTGGCGTATATCATTGGGCAACGCCTCAGATGCCTTTAGCTGTAGGTAGATGGCCTCGGCTGTTTCCAGGGTGCGTTTCAAATCGATGTTGCCGGTTAGTTCGTTGACATGTTTTAGGATTTCGGTGAATTCGTATTTTCTATCAATAATCACGTTCGTTTCCTGGTCCAGTATGGCCACCGAAACGAGCAGATGAAAGTTGGCACAAGGCAGACGCGTCCACAGGCACTCCCAGAGCTTGAGCACATCGTCGTTGTCCAGCTCCCGCTTGTACCAGACGAGCAGCCAGCGGAAACAGAAGTACATGTTGTCCGATTCATGGCTGCACATGTATTTGAAGAGCGGCGCATTGGCCACCTCCAGGAGACGACGCAGCTGGGCAAACTGCGTCTTCATGCCAGCCTGATCCATGTCAAAGTTGCTGAACACCATGTCCATGAAGCCGACAAAACACCAAAACGCATCCACCTCATTAACTTGAATCTCCAGTATCGGTGCCAACAGATCGGACATGCCTTGGACGTAGCCCAGATCAAAATTGTACATAACATAGGTCATGAGTATGCCTTGCAAGAGCATCAGATTTGGATTATCCTCGCCGGCGAAAAACTGTTGCGAGCGGTCCGTGCGCTTCACATCCTTCTCGATTTGGCACTTGCGATCCCGATAGCCGCTAAAGTTTGCCTCCTGGGCGGTGGTCATGGCCAGCCATTGTGCCTTCATTTTATAGTATTCTTTTGTCTTTTGGCTGCGCCGCTCGATGCGCTCCAGTTCCGAATCGGACCATTCATAGTAGTTTAATAAATATTTCCAGACCTCTGCGCGCAGACTGGGCACAATGCCACCGCGAAAGATGAGCTCTTTGATACGTAAGCTATCCGAGATGCGACCGTCGCGCGTCTTAAATTCCAACCACTGCGCCTCGTTGAGCGGTTGGCCTGGAACAATAAATGTGGATGATGAATAAGATGCAACTGATAGAAACTAGCGAATACTTACCACGTTGCACGCTCTGGCGTGCTGGCAGATTGTTGACTATTTTCTCATCCTGGGCATTCAGGTTCTCCAGTTCACTATCCGCTGGCGATTTGTCGGCACTCTCGCCGCGACTCTGGCTGTTCGAGGAGCAGGCGCTGTTCGTGCTGCCGCTTAGCTTGATAAACTGATAGTTGTCCGGTGAGTTCTGGCGATCGCCGTGCACCAGCGAACCGGGACGTGATTTGGGCGACCGTTGAAACGGCGGCTGCACATAGTCCGGTATGTTGCCAAGGAAGCCAGCCAATTTATTGGGCAGCCAGCTTTCTCTGGGCAATTGGCTGGCCTTGATCTCGCCAATATCCAGTTCGGCAAATGTCTTTTTCAGCTTCTGGTTTTCCGTGTTCAATATGGCATACACCTCGCCGCCGCTGCGGCCCGCTTCGGAGCTCTCAATGAAATGCTGCTGACGCATGAAACGCACAAATAGATCCGCGTTGCCGTGCTGAAAGAAGAACTCGCAGTGCACACCGTTATCCGATTTGCGCAGGAATCGTAATGTCTGGCCACGGTGCTGCACCTCAACGGCAGCCAAATCCTCCAACAAGGCGCGCACTATTCGAGCACGAGCTGGCGCCACATTCCCATTGCTGCCCAGCTCTGCGGGCTTTGTATTGAAGGCGCTGCACTCGGATCTGGTGCGTGTGCGACCCGATATTGTATCCACCAGCGCCCAATCGCCCTGATCCTGGCTATCGTCGGCTATCATAATGTTATCATTTAGATGCCACTCCACGTACACGCGACGACGCGGCAGGCTGTACTCGACCAGGGAGAGGGAGCCGCTGGTATTCAATTCGGCAATATGTTCCGCATTGGCCTTCTTCAAAAGCACGCCGTCATGTGTGCACAGCTCCTGCAAGAGCACAATAAAACAATTTCAATGGGGCCACAGCAATATGAGTCAGTTTTCATTGAACAAAGACTTTGGCAGCGCCGTTCAACTTACGTTACCATTTCCCTGGGGTGGATCCGATTCGGATGCGCCGATGCCCTCTTGGGATTCGCTTAGCACGCCCAGCATTGGCTGGCAGCGCTCATAGCGCACCGAATCGTTCATAGCGGCCAGCCGTTTGGATATTTTCACAATGGACCAATAAAAATTTTCAGCAAATTATTACGTTCTAGATATAAACAATTAGATTTAACTGAAATTTGGTGTGTACACACTGCAAATGCAAGGCTGCCAACTCATGTTCAGCTGCGGGATTATTTAATGCATTTCAACTGTTTGGTATTTATGTCAACTTGCTGGCAACCCTGGACAACTGGGACATTTTTGTGAACGTATTGCCTGAAAAAAAAACGTTAGCTTTGGGACTAATTTAAATGTATTTAAAAGATATTTGCATTTGTTGAGTAAAATTCGTGTAATGGGTAACTTATAATGTGTTAATATAAAGCAACGTGCAGTCGGACTTATTTAAATAGCCTTTTTAATTATTTAGTTGTTTTCCTTCATTGAAATAACGCGGCTCACAAATTTTGCTGTGCACATGTAAAATGATTTTGAAAGAACTTGCAACAGAATTTAAATTTAATCACATCACGGCCACCGAGCGACCAATTGATCGAGAGCGAAAGTATTATGCTGTGCACTCTACACACGTGGGCCATATGACACTTAATCAATCGCCAAACATTTTCGGCTTGAGGTAGCGTATGCCGGAACAGACACGTTCGGCGATTCTGTGAAAATAGGCATTATGTGTGTGTACCACATATTTTTCTCGAGTTTTGTAAATAGATTAAAAGTGCCCCACCATTCGTGTGTGATAAGTGCAAGCTTTCGTTTTTCCGAATCTGAAATTCGTGCGAGCATTCGAAAACATTTTTCTGGCCGTTTTTTTGAAAAAAAATTTGAACGAACGCTCAGTTTGCAGTCTGCGAGTACGACGTTCAGAGCGTGTCGGCTCATCGTGTCGTTCCCTAAAAAAAAAGGCAAAACATTCGAATACAACTGAAACTGAATATTTACAGGTGGGTGAATTTTCTATGAAGCTGTGCACAGCTTTTTGACCCACTGTGCCCTAGGTCATCTACAAATGTAGCAATACGCAAACTAAAATTGCCTTCTAAGACAAATAGTGAAAACAGTTAACTGAAAGAAAAAAAACACAAGACTATTGTGCCCTGGCGCTTATATAATACTTAAAAGTGTCAACAATAATTACATCGAAGTAATCAATAGGTAAAGGTGCGCGTACTTGAAAATTAGCTGAGAAACGTAAACAGATTTTGTAGTTTTTCGTTTTCTTCCACATAAAACAGTTTTCTATATGATATACAGCTGTATATATATACATCTATATATATATATATATATATTGGAAAAAACATGGCCACCGAGTTTTATCAATGAAATCTAGCGACAAAATAATGTCGAGAAATACAAGGTATTGTGTCCTGAGAAATCAAATCGAAAACGAATCGGTTCTTGATTCGCATGCCAACTATTTAGACGACATTTCGGCATTACGCCCTTTATAGAGATTTTTCTCATTTGATCGTGTGATGATATCTAACGCCAGCTCTCCCACACATTGCCTCTCAATCGTGCTCGAATGTTACTCAGTGTATATACACACACACATGTGTGCGTGTGTGTCAAATCGTGTTTTTCATTTATCGGGTAAAAACAACGGCCAAAAAACATGAAAATTGTATTCAGCATTCGTGGACAGAAATAGCGCCACCCACCCAACAGAGAGCAGAAAAAGTTTTGAAACTGAATTTGCCTTACAGCGTATTTGGGGTCGATTGGCTTAATTATGGATGAGCAATCACCTGGGCGGGGATTGCACACGATGAGAATTTCATTTCAAATATCTAGTTTCTATTGCAGTTCGCTGTCATGGAAAAATCGTGTCGCCCCAAACGCAATCGTCGGCACAGCAGGTGAGTGGAGCAGCAAAAGAAAAAAAAAGAAATTCTATTGTCGCTAATGTCCAAGAGTTGGATTACAGACGCGCCTGGCCACCAGAGGATGATCTGCATCTGACTCGAGCTACGAAGCGCCTGTTTACGCCCGACATAAAACGAATGCTGAAGGATTGGCTTATACGACGACGCGAGAACCCGTATCCCAGCAGAGAGGAGAAGAAGCAGCTGGCCGGAGAGACGGGCTTGACGTATACACAGATCTGCAATTGGTTTGCCAATTGGCGGCGCAAGTTAAAAAACTCGGAGCGAGAGAAGGCCAAGAAGTCTTGGGGCCATCTGATCAAGAATTACAATCACAACGCACGAGGCAATGTGGAACAGTTTAGCATCTCGTCCGAGGACAGCATTTGGGAGGAGGACATGCGCGTGTGCGCAGCCGAAGATGATGAGAATGGTGAAGATGACGATGAGCTGTCCAGTCGCAGCACGGCCAGTGATGGCATTGACAACAATGCCTCCACCTGCTCGGCGCCATATAAGCCCAATTTTTATGTGGAATCCGAGCTGCTGCCGAACCAGGCGCAAGGTGAACGCGTGCCCATGTTGCCCACTGTGCCGGCTGGCAAGGCCAAGTACAAGCAGCAGATGATGGAGAAGTATCTGCGCGATAGCAATGTACTGGATGCCAGCATGCCGGCGAACACAAGCGACAACAATGGCACCCAGTTGAACAAGTGGCTGGAGAGCGCCGCCAGATTCACGCCGGATAGGCACAACTATCACATTGAGTGGAATATGAGCAGGTGAGCCCAGGTGCAGTTGATCAATTGCTGCTATGCTAAACTGTAGTTTTTTTCCAGGCACAAATGCGCCAATCAGGAGCGGCCCGTGCAGAGCGAGGTGCTGTTCACCAGCGATGCCACCGCTGCGGCACGTGGCGAGCGTTGGCTGCTCCACCACAAGGACGAGCTGGATGCTGCCGAAGCGCTGGCGAATTTAGCCTTTAACTGCAGGCAGCGCTGGCATCACATGGCAACCACAATTACCTCCTAGACGGGACGCCACTGACGCCATCATTCCAGGCCGTTGGAAGAGTGCAATCTAGTTTTAAGCTGTAATCTATAGTATGAAAGACAAATGACAATTATTTTGTTGCTGTTATTGTTATTAACAAATTATAACTTATGTCTGCGTTTCTTTCGTCGGCTCCGTTGCCGCATCGCTTTTGGCGTGCACGTCCAGGACCTTGACCAGATTGCACTGATGCGCCTGCAGCTGCTGCACCACATTGCCGGCCGCCATATTGAGCGTTTGCACCAGCTGCGCCTGTGCCGCCTGCAGACCGGGCATTTGTGCGAAGTCCATCAGCTCGTTGCGGCTGAGCAGGGTGTTCTCCACAATGCCGCCTAGCAGCACCATTTGTGGCACTTTGCGCGTGAGGCGCAACAGCGCGACCACACGATGCTGATCCGGCGAGAACACAATGCAATGATTCGAGTGGAACAGCGGCACAATGGCCTCGTATTGTGTGCCGGCAACAGCCTGGGCAATGATCTTGCGGCCGTAGGATTTTAGGTGCATGTTCTGCTTGTGCAGCTGGACGCGCACACGAAAGAGCTCGTCTGCCATTATTGAGTTCAAATGGAAGATGGCCACCAGCTTGGAATGATCCAACCAGTTGCGCACCTCGCGCGCTATAATCGCATTGTAGGGATTCTCCACCTGGGTGCCCAGACGTTCTGCCCGCGACTGAAAGCAGGTCAGAGCCTTCGGCGGCTCCGGATATTTGGGCTGTGTGACGGCCACAACACGCGCCCGCTCATAGTGCGGCTCCTTGGGGCGTTGTATGTTTATCTTGCCGCGAAATCGCAAAAATTGTAGCAGCGGAGCACGCGCCGATGTGAGTGGCAGGCCTGCAATGGGCAGCAGCAGCGGCAGCGCGTAAATAAATGAATTGTATAATCACACAGCTGTTGCTGCGGACCATAGAATGGAGTCCAACGTGTAGCACGTGCGCTTACCTTGTTTTATCAGATTGGACATGTCTGCAGTCAGTTCGGCTCGTAAATTTAACTATTTTTATACACTATTCTATAATTATTAACAAATTAAACGCTTAAATAAGAGAACCGAATGCACGTACGCCGCGTTGCTTATTTCGATAGTAAATTATTTGTATATCGATAACACAAAATGTTAACAAGTCAGCTGTTGCAGTTCAGCGCTAATGTTCGCTGTTAATAACAGAAAAGCCAATGTTACACAAAATGTTAATGACACTGTTAAAATGTAGCATTTTATACCCTCAACATCCACAATCTGTTCTCAAGACTTGGTAGTGATTCCGAATTCCGGATAAATGTTTAACAATAATAGACTATTTTGTAGTATACTAATTGATTATTAAAACAATGATTGTGTCCACAAAAGCCTTTTAAGAATTATGAATAGCTGCCGTTCAAATATCAACACAACTTTCATACATAATGCATAGGTATAGAATTTATTTAATTACAGGTATAACATTAACATCTATATATGTATATATATATATATATGTATATATATATATATATGTATATATATATATATATATTTATGGGTTTTGTGTTCTTTTCATATATATACTATAAGTTGCATTTCGCTAATGGATTTGTGGGTTGATAACGGTCTATCGAACAACCAACAACTATTGTGAACGAAAGGGTTGGACGTGGAGCAATGGTAAAGTTGAAAAATAATTAAAACAAATCGTTTAACAGAAAAAGTTTATTGAATTGGTTTATTAATTCACTTAGAAATAAGTGTAATTTAATCGGTTTCTTCATCAATTAACTTAAAAATAACTAAAAATGTCTTAAAACAATAGCGTTTCATCTGTTCTTGTTGTGTTTACTGACAAAATGTTTTTCCTTTTTGCGATTTACTTCTGATCTCTCTCATAATCGTATCTTTATCGTGTTATATAATGTACAGTTTAGTTTTAAAACATACAACTAAATACGCGCTAAACACTAATTAAACTGTATTTACATGTACATGAATTATCGTTTAGACGCTAAATAATTTAAATATTTTACAGTTTTGCTTTTTTTTTCTCTTTTGTTTTTCGTCACATAATTTACAAGTGGGCGTGAAAACGTTTAAGTTTAAGGAGTGTACAGAGGGATTTTATCATCTTCCTTTTCATATATATATATATATATAATGTATATTGTGTATTGGGCGTCTGTATGTGTTCTTTTATAGTCAGCTTCGGGCTTAAAATAAATATGTTTGTGTATGTGTATGTGTGTGTGTGTGTGTATATATGTATGCATGTATAAATACGCTCTAATGCTACTGCCTGGCAGTTTACAAAGTTTCGCGCAAAAGAACTAAACATTTAAATGATAACAAACGGAAACACCCAACTTTGCTTGAATTAGTTTCGTGTACAGTGTTGTGGCAGTGATGGTGGAGTTGTAGTTGTTGTTGTTGTTGTAGTTGCTGTTACTATTACTGTTGATGCGATTTTCAAGCAAATCAGGTGGAAAAGCTAACAGTGAATAATCGGCAGAAAGGCAACCACAAAAATGCCAACAACGCGGCGGCGCCTGCGTTGAGTGTATTTTTGTCGTCGGCTTGCGCCCCCTACAGGAAAATATATAAGCAACAAATTAATAAATTTGTCTCTAAGCTTTAAAATATTTGGCTTAACATATTTGTTTATAATAATTAAATAGATATTTAATAATTGTAATTTATATGTAGGTGTGTGTATATCATGTATGTTTATGTGGTTGTATATTTGTGTGGCTGTGTGTGTGTGTATCTATTTTAATGTTTGTAATTGTAGGAAAAAAGCCTCTGGGCGCATCTTTAAACCTAATTGTGCTTAACAGCAGTTGGCGACAGGTGGCGCTCATGGCGTTCTTCGGGTCAATGCGACACGCGCGGTTCACACGCGCACCACATGGAGCCGAGGAACAAATTGAAAAAAAAAATATTAAGAATATAAATAGAAACGAAACGCTAGAGCAAAATCAATAAACTACTTAATTAAGGGCGACGAAACTTTGTAAAATGCGAGCAATAACTGGGCGTGCGTATGTGTGTGTGTGTGTGTGTGAGTGTTTGTGTGTGGGTGAGTATGTGAAATAGTTCACCAATCAAAAACTTAAACGTGTGTTGTTGTTATTGCTGTTTCATATTTTCTTTTCGAATAGGGATAGTAGGTATATATGCTTGTATGTATGTATGTATGTATGGTAGTAAGCAGTATGTAGTACAGTAAACAGTTAGGTTTTCTTTTTTAAGCATTTGCTGTTTTTTTTTTTGTTTCACATTTCCTTTTCGTTTTGTTTTCATTTCATTTTCATTTTAAATTATAAGCAAAAAAAATAAAAACTTTCTTGAGATCAAACTTAACGATACTTTGCAAGCTTTCAAAAATGTTGTTAAAAATTATTATGTATTATATGTTTATGAAAAGAAAAGAAACGAAAATTTGGACAAACATACTTTTGCAATTTTAGTTTTTTCCTTGTTTTTTTTTTGTTTTGTTTTGTTGTTTTGTTTACGTTTTACACAATGTATATTATGTTGGAGGATTTGCGGGGGGAGGCTGTTTAAGAGGGTTGTTTTAAGGATTTACATTGGTTTCTTTTAGTTGCCATCAATCAATTTCGATTGTTTTATGAGCCTGGTTTCAACTCTCTCTCTCTCTTGCATTTATTTATTTCAATAAAGTTTGCATTTTTTTTTTCTCTTTACTTTTTGTTTTTTGTTTAGTTTTGCTTCTTTAAACTTTTGTGTTTTGTTTAAACGCTATTTAAAATTACTTAAAATACTAGAAGAGCGTAACTTGTTTTAGCTTTGTTGTAGTTGGTAGTTGTTGTTGTTTTTGTATTATTGGTTGGTTTTTTGTTTACTTTACATGTGTTTGTTTCAGTTGTTCTTGATGTTCTTGTTGTGGTTGTTCTTGCAGTTTTTTTCTATAGAGGAGACATAGTCGGTGTTTTTTTAATTTTCATATTTGTATGTTTTTTTATGTAGATCTGGTTAAAACCAACCGCCTGCAATTCGATTAGACGGTGGCAATGACAATCAATAGGTGCGCCAGCTCGGCAACACGGTTCTTGAGATCGGGCGCAGCACGCTCCAGATTCTCATTGGCGAAATCGCACGCGGGAAATATGTGCACCACATACGCAGCCTGATCGCTGCCCGGCATGGGTATATTCACAATGCCAGCGGCCATCTTCTGCTGCAGATAGGTTATGAATCCGGTCTGCAGATTACGCGAATGCTGCAGCACGTCCGCATGATCGCGTCCGCATGGCAGCGCCAGCAGCATGCAGTGCTCCTTGTCCACCTGCACATAGCAACAATACGTAATTAGTTAATCAAGTTTAATCTACATGGATAATAAATTTACGCACCTGCATCTTTTTGGCAACACCCTCCAGCTGCGTCTGCTCGAGACGCATGCGCTGCGCAATTCGCAGTTGTGGTGTGGCACTCTCCACCATGCTGGGCAGCGAGGCACGCGCCACATTCGGGTTGCCATGCACAAAGTGCATCTGAACGGCCGCCTGATCGGTCTTCAGTGCCAACAGACCCTGCCACATGACCGGATAGCGTTGCAGCAATGTGACGAGCGAGTCGCCCGGCGGTGGTGGCATTGCGGCGGGTGGTGGTGGCCCCGGCTGGGGCTGCGGCTGCTGTGTGGTCAGCTCCATGCCGCCGTGCATTACAGACGCGCTCAAATGCTCCTGCTGTTGCTTGGCTGTAAATGGGTTAGTGTTAGTCGCAATTGCCACAAGCTGTCTGGCATTTATATACGCACCAACTGCTGCTACTATGGATAGCCGTTCGTTCTCACGTTCGCGCTCCAAGAGCTTGGCCTGGCTGGGATGTAGGCTATGCGGTCCCGGCTGCACGGAGACAGACACTGAAGCGCCGCCGCTGATGTACGGACTGCCGCTGGCAACTGTCGGCGGTGGTGGCACCACAACACTTATCGAAGCTGCCGCACGGTGCGCCGGCGGCGGCTCCAGCTGCATGCCGGCACTCTCGTAGTAACCGCCACGTGTGGCCATCTCGCTGAAGTGAGCGTGCGGTATGCGCGCATTGTGCACATACACCTGAGCCATCTGCGGCGAGTCTGTGAATGGGTAGAATGGGTAATTGATTAAGCTGGGATCTTAGGTTTATCTAGAACTCAATATGCTCTTACCCGCTGCAGTGCGATCCTGTGGACTCTGCAGGCTGTGCGGCACGGCAATGGTGCGCGGCGGTCCACTGCCCGGACGACGCAGCTCCAATGGCGGACTGCTGCTAATCATCTTGTCGTCATAGTCACCGCTGCGCATCATGTGGTGTTGATAGAGCATTGCGGCCCGATACGCGGTATCATTCTGCAAGTGAAATGGGGATACGAGATTAGAATATATCTATAAGACTGGCAGTGTATTAAATGTTGTTAGTTGTTTGGTGGGGGTGGTTCTTGGGTTACGCTACTTCAAAGTTCCGCATGTAAAACTTGTGCATTACCGGTGTTATGGGCGATGCCTGCTGATGCGCTGGCGGCGGGCTCTGTGTACGCCGACCGCTGACATAGGCGCCCAGGTCATGCTGCGTCCATTTGGCAAGGCAAAGGTGATATTAAGTTAAGCAAGTAAAATGTTAGCTTGGACAAGAGCTTAGCAAGAGCACAACAGCTGCATGCTAGTGTTAGTATATGGGGCTAGGACTTACCATGCTGGTATCGAAGGGCGGCACGCCGGCTATGCCCGGTGGCAGCACCAACGGCGAGACACGCGGCTGTCCCTGTGGACTGATGTTCGGTATGGCGGTGCGCAGAACTGCAAGCAAATTAGGTTTTAATTAGGATTAGCCAACAGTTGTCCAGGCATTGGGACTTACCTGCAGCTGTATTAGCTTGCTGCTGTTGTCCTGGTTTCATTGGCGGCGGACTGCCAATGCTGCCGGGCAACAATTGACCCACCGCTTGCAGGCTGTGCACCACAGGATTGGGCTTGCCTGGTGGCGGTGATGGTGTCAACTGATGCTGCTGCGGTTGCAAATGAGCCGCTGGCTTTGGCTGCAACAACAGCGCCGAGTGTGCCGGCAACAAGAGATTATGCGGCGGCAACTGCACCGGCTGTGCGCTCTTCTGCTGCACAGCCTGTTTGTACAGCTGTTGCGGTTGCTGCTGTTGTTGTTGTTGTTGTGGTGTTTGTTGCACATAGCTAAAGTTCTGTTTGCTCAGCTGCTGCGGCGGTTGTTGTTGTTGTTGCTGCTGCGTTGGCAATACCGAAGCCTTTGAGCTAACCACATGCAGTATTTGCGGATGCGCTGTTGGCGCTGCGGCTGTTGCCTGCTTGATGACCAGCGTCTGCTGCTGTTGCTGCTGCAGTTGTGGCGCATTTGGTGGCTGTTGCTGCTGCTGTTGCTGGCCGTGCTGTGCGGCTGTGATGCGCGGCGAGTGCGGCGAATGCGCTGTTGGCGGTGGTATGTTGACCAGCAGATGCTGCTGTTGTTGCGGCTGCTGCTGTTGGCCCAGCATGTGGCGCGCTATGAGATTTGGCTGCAGGAGCTGTTGATTGCCGGCAGCATCAGTGAGCAGCATGTGGCCCGGATGTGGCGGCTGTTGATGTTGATGCTGTTTGTTGGGCGTCAACTGTGGATGTTGTTGCTGCTGCTGCTGCAGGTTCTTCTCGCGATTCAGCACATGCGCTTTTAGCGGTTGCGGCGGACGCACCGTTGTGTGCTGTGCGTGTTGAAGCACAGTTGTCAGCACCAGCGGCTGCTTGTTGGCCAACACATGTTGTTGTTGTTGTTGTTGTTGCTGCTGTTGCTGCTGTTGCTGCGGTGGCGCCTGTTGCAGTTGTTGTTGCTGCTGTATGATAAGCGTGGGCTGCGCGGGCGTGGCATTGCTCTTAACCAGCACGCTGACGGGCTTGTTAAGCAACGTTGCCGCCGCCTCTTGCACCTGCAGCTGCACGGGCTTGCTCAGCGTTGTTATAGGCGTGGAAGGTGCTATGACCGTCCCGCTGATTTGCAGTTGTTGCTGCTGTTGTTGTTGCTGCTGCTGCTGCATTGGCGCCGTTTCATTGCTGCTGTTGGCGGGCGCCGCCGCATTCGCGGCCGGCAAATTGCCCTCCTTGCCCTGCGGCATGCCCGCAGTAATGACACCCGTGACGGGATCAATTAAAGCCTTGCTAACTGCATCTGCGGCACCCCCTGTGATCTTCTGCGTGGCCGCCGGTGCGGCTGTCTGATGCATGGGCGGCATGGATGAGTTGATGGCCTGATATGATTCGATTTCGGCTGCGGCAATCGCCTTCTTCTTGGGATGTTGTGGCGTTGGTTTGGTTAGGACCACAGGCGGCACTTGCAATGGCTCTGCTGGTGGTGTTGTTGTTGTTGTTGTAGGTGGCGGCGGGGGTGGTGGTGTTTCCTTGACCTCCGGGACATGTGCAATGTGCGGCGTTGGCGGCTGTTGTTGTGGTTGCTGCTGTTGCTGCTGCTGCATTGTTGCTGGCGTCTCAACCATAGCAACAGCTGCAGGCACCGCTGCTGCAGCAGGTGGCGGCAGCAACAGTGGCTGCGCCTCCTCCTGCACACCAGCTGGCGGCTCACAAATGGTCTTCCGTTCCTTGGAACGCCTAGGCCTGCCCACGGCATTTGGCGTTTGTGCCGCATCCGTTTTCTTGGCTTGCGCATTGCGACCGGAGCGTCGCGGCGGCGTTTGTGCGCCCTTGGGCAACTGTTGTTGTTGCTGTTGTTGCAATTGTTGCTGCAGCTGTTGCTGCTGTTGTGTGTTTGTATTGCGCACAACATCTTCGATAATGTCATCCACGGTGCTGCGATCCTCCTTCTCTTGCAGACGCCGCGACTTGCGTGTGTTGCAAGACTCCGAGCTGTCCGTGTTGTGCTCCAGCTGCTGCTGCGTCTGCTGTTGCTGCGCCTGCTGCTGCTGTTGTTGTTGTTGCTGCTGCTGCTGCGTCTGTACATGTGGCACCTCGGCTTGGCTCTCCAGTTCGCTGCTGTTCTTCAGCTTGTTGATTGTTAGTATAAGTCGCGGTCGCGTGTCATCTGCGGCTGCTGCTGCTGTGTTAGTAACTGCAGTTACCTTGACCTTTGGCTCCGTATCGCCGACATCGTCATGGAACTCGTAAATATCCTGACTGGAGCCGCTCGCTTGTGTCAACGCCTGATTCCGTGCCTTCTTCTCAGCGGCTGTGGGGACAGGCACGGGCACAACTGCGGGCGTGGGCGTGACAAGCTCCTTCTGCTGATGCTGCTGCTGCTGTTGTTGTTGTTGCTGTTGCTGCTGTGCGAGCTGCTGTTGTGCCAGCTGTTGCTGTTGCAGCTGCTGTTGTTGCTGCAGCAAGTTGCGCGGCGGTCTGCCTTTGCGGCCACGCGTCACTGGCGCCGTGGCCGGCTTGCGCAGTCGTGTGTGCACACCATTGTCACCCGGCGAAAGCAACAGGCTCGGCTCGGTGGGATTCAGGGGCAGTCCGGGAACCTGTTTGGCCTTGGCGCCGCGTGGCTGACGTCCACGTTTGGCGCCTGTACCACGTGCGCTCGGCGGTCGGCCGAGCTGCTTCAAGGACTTGATGTTCAACTGACGCGTCTCGGTTTCATCCTCGGTGTCGTGATCATTAGAACTGGCATTGGCCAAAGCACTGGCAGCAACTGTTGCTGATGCTGCTGCTGCTGCAGATGGCGGCTCACTGGCCAAGGCTGGCGTTGCCTCTGCCGTGGGCACATCAATTGCTGGCTGCTGTTGTGTGGCCGTTCGCTTATTTTGGTTATCCTCCTTCGCAGCGGCTGCTGTGGACGGATCGAGCTTCTTGATGACACTGTCAATGTTCACCTCCTTGGCGGACCAATAATCGCTGTCCACCTCCTTCGAGTCCTGCTCGATAAGCTCATCCTGCTTGGGCTGTGAGATCTTGATGACATTCTCCTCGGTTAACAGTGAAGCGGCTGCGGCGGCAGCAGCAGCGGCTGCCTTTGTCGCCTGCGGTGAGCTCGCCAGGCTGATGGTGGGCGTGGGAGTGCGTATAACAGAAACGCTTTCGGATGTCTTTAGCGGCAACACTGGCGACTCCACCACAGTCGTCGTGTCCTTGGGCGGCAGCGGATAGTGTATAGATGTGGTCGGTGCCGGCACAATTTGCTGTTGCACAATGATTTTCTGTGCTGACGGCGCGTTCTGTATCACATTCAGCGATTGTTGTTGTTGCTGTTGTGTTGGTGCTCGCACCATAATTGCAGCGGGATGCGGCTGCTGTTGTTGCTGCTGTTGCGGTTGTTGTTGCTGCTGTGCCTGTGGACTGTGCGAGCTGTGTGCACTCGGATTGAGGCCTGTTGGGCTCACTTGTTGTTGCTGTTGCAAATTGCGTGGCAGTTGCTGGTGTTGTTGCTGCTGCTGCTGCTGTGCAAACATGGGCGGCGGCGGGGTCAAGTGCGTTATCGGCTGTTGCTGCTGTGCCGTGTGCAATTGTTGCTGTAGCTTATGCATGTGCAACTGCTGCTGCTGCTGTTGCATTTGCTGCTGTTGGGCTTGATGTTGCAGCTGGTGCTGATGCTGCTGCTGTTGCGCTTGATATTGCTGTTGCCGTGCCTGATGCTGCTGTTGCTGCTGTGTGGCATGTGCGTGATGATGACCCGGCGACAAGGGTGGATGTTGCATTTGCTGCTGCATATGCTGCTGTGCAAGTGCCTGCTGCTGCTGTTGTTGTTGCTGTTGTTGTTGCAACTGTTGATGCTGCTGTGGCACATGTTGTTGTCGCTGCGGCTTGCGTTCCAGATGCTGATGCATGTACTTGTGCACCTGTTGCTGCTGCTGCTGCTGATGCGCGTTCATCTTGGACAACATCTGCGGAGAGAGCTGTTGCTGTTGCTGATGTTGTTGCTGTGCGTTCACATGCAGATTCTTGTGCGGCGGCAGACTGCCCATGGGCGGCGAGCTGGCCACCTGAGTTTGTATGGCCTGCTGTGGCTGCACGGTGACCACCTTGCTGATGATTGTCGGATGATGGGACACGGGCAATGGCGGCATCTTCTGCAAAGGCAGCGGCATCAACTGAGCACTCTGTGCAGCATTTGCGCCCGATTGCAGCTCAATGACAGACTTGGACATGCTCGGTGAAGCCTGTTGCTGCTGCTGTTGTTGCTGCTGCTGCGGCAACGCTGGGCGTGGCAGATAGCTATTGGGCGTAGGCATTTTGCTGCTGGTTGTGGGCGACGTTGTTGTGGCTCCAACTCCACGCGCTGTCGGACTGGCCATCGGACTCATATTGATGTTGCCAGTGGGCGAAGCTAACAGCGGGTGTTGTTGTTGCTGCTGCTGCTGTTGCAGTTGTTGCTGTGTAGGCACTATGGGCCTTGTAGCTGGACTTAGCTGGCGATTGGGCGTGCCGCGTCCCGGCGACAACAGCGGACTATGCGGCGAGGGGGCGCGCATTAAATAGGCGCCGGTTGGAGCCTGCTGCTGTTGCTGTTGTTGCTGTTGTTGCTGTTGCTGCTGCTGTTGATGTTGCTGCTGCTGTTGATGTTGCTGCTGCTGAGGCGACAATATCAAGTGCGGCACCACAAAATGCGGCGCTTGCTCCGGTATAGATATGGTGGGCGGCTGCATGATGAGCGATTGCGTACGCTGCGGCAACGGCTGATGTTGTTGTTGCTGCTGGGCTGTTGCTGGCGTCTGCTGTTTGGGCGTGGAGGCCAGCGGCATGGTTTTTTGTGTGGTAGTGGGACTGCCAAAGGACAGCGATGCGGAGCTATTGCTGCTTGTTGTGCTGGAGCAATTGGCCATGACATTGGACAGATCCAAATTGATGACGGGCGTGGCAGGACGAGCTGTTGCTGTTGCAGCTGCAGCAGCCGCTGTTGTTGTTGTTGTAGGTGCTGGCAGCACCGTTTGCACCGGCTGCACCAGCGGCTGTTGCAGCTTACTGATGGTCGGCGGCTCAATCTTAAGCATTTGCTGTGGATTGGACTTGGCCGTGTTACTGATGCTGGCATTAGGCGCTGGAGCAGGCGTAGCTGCAACTGTTGCTGTCGCAGGCACAGTAACTGCCAGCTTGGTAATGACTGTGGGCTGCGGCGTTTCGGACGCCTGTTTGGGCCTGGCGCTGGCCTCGCTAGCGAGCTCGGGCGATTTGTCGGCAGCACTTGAGCCCGACTTGTCGGAGGAGCCGCTGTGCTGTGGGACAGTCTCGTCGATCTTGAGACTGGGTCCACTGCTGTCCGCCTCGTCGGCGTTCTCCTCGGTGTCTGTGTCGATTTGCAGATCGCGTTCGGATTGCGGCGTGTCCGCCTTGATGTCCATGTCCTCGTTGCGCAGACTCTGCACCGCCTTGTTCACCTCTTCGGCATCGAGCACGACGCCTACGGAGACCACAACGGGCACCGATTCAGGCTCGGGCTCGGGCTCAGGGGCGACCTCTTCGACAGCCGCCTCGATGGCCTTGGCAGCGAGTGCCGCCTCCTCGTCGGGCTCGGCGACAACCACTTCTGTGACCGTGGCTGTCATATCGTCCATGCCGTCTAGCGAGTAATCCGCCGTTGAGGATGTGCCAAAGCTTTCGCCCAGCAGCGCGGAAACAGCGCTCTCCGTCTCTTCCTGCGAGATGGTCACACGAGATTTGCTATCCTCCAGCTTGTCGAGTGCTTTGATGGCACCGGGTGGCGAGGCCACAGGTATCTTGGGCTCATCGGCCAGTGCATCCAGCAGTGCATTGTTGAACTCTGCCGAAATTGATTGCACCGCCGACTCGCTAATCTTGTCATCCAGTTGACCATCAAAGCCGGGTATGAAGATCTCCTTCTTTTTGTTCAAGGCGGCGCTGGTTGGTGAGCTGTTTTCTGCGGCACACTTGGACTCCAAAGCTGCGGCCGCGACAGCCGTTGAGGATGTGGGCGTGGTAACCAGAGGCGCCGCACCGCTGCTCACAGGCGTTTCCGCCGATTGCGTGGACAACATGGAGCTGTTGCTCTGGCTTATGGTGGGTGTCTTGGGAATGGGGCTTATCAAGCGCGGCTTCTCGCGGGCCGGCGAGAGTGTATCCGGGTTCAGGCGATTGTTGCTGCCGCTGCCGCTACTAGCTGAGGGTTTGATGACGGGCATCGGGCAGATGGGCGGCTCCTCATCATCATCATCGCCAATGAGACAAGGCAAGCTGGGCGAGGGTTTGCAGAGCGGCGAACTGCGCTTCGATTCCTTCTCTTGTTGCTCCTCGGCGTGTTTTGACGCTGCCTGCACATTGATAGTGAGTGAGCTGACCGAAGAAGCGCCGCCGCCGGCTGCCTGACCAGCAGCTGTTGCTGTCGTTGACTCGCGTCGCAGCTGCAACTGTTGTTGTTGTTGCTGTTGCTGCTGTTGTTGCTTATCGAGCTTCTCTTGCTTCTCCTCCTTGGAGCGCTTCTTCTTTTTCTTCTTGTCCTTGCTCTTGTGCCCCGCTTCCTTGGAGTCAAGCACCTGCTGCTGCTTCTCGCTGGACTGCGACGGCAGCTGAAGATGCTGCTGCTGTTGCTCGATGGAGTTGTTGTCCTCGTTGTCGGAGAAACGGAACACGTCCGTCATATCGCTGCGATAGGTGGTGGCTGTGGAGGGAGTGGCATCTTCGGGCAACTTATTGCTGTCGAAATCATCCATAAGCTGCGCCTCCAGTGCACGTCCCGCCTCGTCCATGTCCACGCTGTTGTCGTCATCCAGCTTGTTGGCATTTTGTTGCTGCTGCTGCTGTTGTTGCTGCTGATGCTGCTGTTGCTCGCGTGCGGACTTTTCGCGTCGCTTCTTCTCGCGTTTCTCTTTGCGATGTCGCTCGCGTTCACTGCGCTCCAGCTCGAGCTCCTCCTGCTGCAGCTGCAGTTGCTGCGTTGCCGGCTCTTTGTTGATGTTGAGGCTTAAGAGAGGTGTTTCCTGTTTGTAGGTCTGCAGTGCGGCGGACACCATGGGTCCTGTGGTGGAAAGCTGCACCTTGGCCGTGTCGGGCGGCTCATCGGTCAGTTGGGATTCCTCCTCTTCCTCCTCCTCGTCGGAGATAATACCAAAGATGTCCTCCATTTTGTCCTCGCTACGCTTCGCAGACTCACGCGCCGGCGTGCTCAGTGTGCTGGGCGTCGGTGGCGAGGAGGCATTGGATGCATTGTACAGGCGAGCCGATACGTCCAGACTCTTGGATTTCTTGGACTTTTTCAGCCGATGGCGCTCCTCTTTAGACAGCTTCTCGCTAAGCTGCTCGACAGAGCCGCCGGCGTTCGTCTCGCTCAAGTTGCGCAGCTTCTCGCGCTTCTTCTCCTTGCGCTCCTTGTGTTTGCGCCGCTCGCTGGCCACCACCACCACCGCGGAGGCATTAACTTCCAACGCGGGAGCGATCACTACCTGTTGCGGCTGCTGCTGCTCGGTCTTAAGCTCATCGAAGCTGTCGAATTTATTGGGCTTGCAATCAGCCACATCAAAGATGCTTCCGCTGCCCGTGCTGCCAGCGGTGACAGCGGCCACAACAGTGGAGGTGGCGTCCGCCGAGGACTTGAGGCGCTTCTTGCTCTTCTTGTGCTTCTTGCGCGCTTCCGGGGAGAACTCCTTGAGCTTGGCGGCACTGTCGCCCACGAAGCCCGTGTAGCCGGAGGCGTTGAAGTACTCGGTGTACTCCTTCTTGAATTCCGTCTTCAGTTTACGCTCCTCGTTGGAGGAGTGCGAGTCGTTACGTGACTTTGGATACTTTTGCATTTCGCTGTCCGAGAGCTGTTCCTGCTTAATGTCCGGCTCCTGCTTGATGCTGGCGCTGCCCACGCTGCTGCTGCCGATCAGCTCCGGTGCTGGCTGCGATTGCGATTCCGAGTCGGAGGCAATGCGCGTCGAGTGGCAATTTCTTTTGCCCCCGTGGCCAATCACATTGCGACGTATCTCATCCTCGGAGCTATCGTCGCCATCGCACAGTCGACGCAAATTCTGTTGCATTTGCTGGCGCATGCGACTGGCATTTAATGCCGCTGCCTCTGCATCCACATCGCCATCGGCATCCGAATCGGAGAATATGCGACTCTGTGACAGCTTGCTGCGATGATACCTATCCTCATCGTCGTTGACATCGTCGCTGCTGCTGAGGCCGCCATGATTGCGTCCATGGAAGCTGCTGCTCCCGCTGAGGCGATGATGCAGCCGATCCTCGAATTCAGTGTCGCTGTCGCCATCGTAGCTGGTGGAGCGCTTCTTTTTGGCTCGCGATTGCTTAAGCTGCGAGAACTTGGCCTTGATCTTCTTCTCCTCGGCCTGGCGTTGCATATTCTTGCAGCTGCGCGCCTTAACCTTGTCATACATGGAGACGTTGGGGCAATCGTCGGGTATATCAAAGATGGAATGCTTCTTGGACGCATCATCTGTGTCATCCGAGTCCGCCGAGCTGAGCATCATTTTGCGCGGCTGAGAAGCGCTCTTCGAGGAAGCGCCTCCTTCGTCTGAGCCACGCGATGATTTCCGCTCCACGCTTCGACGATGATGATGATGATGATGGTGCGACGACTGCTGCTGCTGCTGCTGTTGTTGTTGCTGCTGTTGTTGTTGCTGCTGCTGTTGCTGATGATGATGATGATGCAACTTGCTGCTGGAGGTATTCGTGTTGGCTGTGTTCGAGCTAAGCTCGCCCGCGGAGCTGCCCGCCGCTGAGATGCGTCTGTGCGGATTGTGTGTGGGCTCCTCGTCCGTATTGGTGGACTCGGCCACCGAGTGCCGCTTCTTCTCGCGATGATGATGATGTTCACGCTTGCTCTTGTGCCGCGACGACGATGACGAGCTGCCATGGTGATGATGCTCGCGCTGCTGCTTGTGCATCGACGGTTGTCGTTGCTGCTGCTGCTGCTGCGGATGTGGTTGTTGTTGCTGCGACTGGGCCGGCTGCTGCTGCTCCTCCTCGCTGGTATTGAGCGTGTGCAACTGTTGCTGCTGTTTGCCATCCAGTTCGGTATTGTTGACCACCTCGCTGCTGCTGCTGGCGCTCTTACTGTGATGCTTTTCGCGTCGATGATGCTTCGAGCTGCTGCTGCTGCTGCCGTGCGATTTGGAGGAGCTGAGCTTTTCGTCCTTGCAGCCGCCGCTGCTGCTGCTGCTCTTGTGCTCCTTGGAATCGCGACGATCGCCGAGACGCTGATGATTGCTTTGCGATTGCGATTGGGACTGCGATTGGCTCGGGTTGGTGTTCTCCATGCGTATACGCTTCACATAATCCTCATGATTTTGTCCACCGCCAGCGCCAGCGCAACCGCTGCTATGATTGCTGTCCTGCGAACTGAGGCGTCGCTTGTGCTGGCGGCCCGTACTGGGCACAGGGGAATTGCGTGACGATTTGCGGGAACGATCCTTGCTACTGCTCTCAGTGGAAGCGCTGCCTGAAGCTGCTGCGACTGCTGCTGCGGCTGCTGCTGTTGTTGTGGTTATATCCGTGGCAACGGCATTCTCTTTGTTGTTCTGTCGCTCACATTCGTTGGGCGTGGCTGGATTGTGGGCGTAGAAGCTGCTCGCTTCGGAGCTGGCATCGGATTTGTTCTTGTGGTAGGCGGACATGTCGCGCATGCGCGCCTGCCGCGCCTCCTGTTCCAACTGCTCCTTTTCGCGTTGTTCCTTCTCACGCTCTTCGCGCTCCTTTTGCTCACGCTCTTCTTGTGCCTTACGCTCGCGCTCTCGTTCGCGTTCACGCTCCCGATCTCTTTCCTTTTCCTTTTCCTTCTCTTCTTTGGCCTTTCGGTCTTCGCGCTCGCGTTCCTCCTGCGCTTTGCGTTCCTTTTCTTCACGCTCCTGTTGCTTGCGCAGTTCCTTTTCGCGTTTCTCTCGCTCCTGTCGCTCCTTGTGCTGCGACTTTTCCTTCTCTTTGTCGCGCTCCTGGCGCGGCTGCTCCTTGTCGGGCTTCTCCATAGGTTCATCCGACTCGGTGGACTCATCTTCCACTTTGGGCGTTGCCGACTTCGAGGACTGCGATGTTGCCGAGTTCTTGCGCTTATCGGAGGTGGTTGTGTTCGAGGAGGAGGAGGATGAGGAAGAGGACTTTTTCGACTTTTTATCCGCATCGGAGCGATTGTTGTGCTTGCTGCTGCCATGCGACTTGTCGCCGCTGCTGCTGCTGCTCTTCTTGGACGTGGAGCAGGAGGCGGTTGTTGAGTTGGCGGATGAGCTCTTGGCGTTGCCCTTGGCCTCCGCTTCATCCATCGAGCTGTTTGGTGTTTGTTTTTGTACGTGTGTGGTTGTTGTTGTTGTTGAGGAACTGTTACCGTTGGAGGATAGGTTGCTGCTGCTCCCAGTAGTGCCCACATTGGTGCTGCCCGGCACTGAGGCGGACTTTTGAAGCACGGAGCGTGGCTCATTGGCTGCCGCTGGCACGCTGAGGCTCTTGCTGAGCTGTTGACTGCCTGTGGACGCCGCTGTTGGCTTTGCTTTGGGAAACTCTGGTGGTGGAGGTGGCGCCGGTTGTATCGCCGGCGGTGGTGCTGCAGTATTTGGCAATGGCGGGTGACTGGGAAATGGATATTGCAGTCCCTTTGTTGGACCACTGCTGCCGCTAGACGTTCCACCAATAACAGCTGTCGCAGCTGCTGTTGCTGCAGTTGCTGATGCTGCTGTTGTTGTTGCTGTCGCGATGATACTGCTGCTGCTGGTAGCGCCACTGCTGGGCTTGGCCAGCTGCCCAAGACCGCTGACCACATTGGTATTCACCACAGAGGGCGAGGGCGACGGGCTGTTGTAGGGCGACATCGAAGCCTGCGGCGAGTTCATGGGCGACAAGCTGCTCAGGCGCTGCAGCAGGCCGCTTGTCTTGCAGCTGCCGCTGCTGCTGCCGGTAAGGAGGCTGCTACAGTTGCCAATGATGGGCGTCGTTTTGGTGGCCGCCAAATTCGGCAGCGCCGGCGACGTGTTCCCACTACAGAGTCCACCATGCCGTGCATTCGCCAACGTTGTCGAGCCCGTGGCAAAGTCTGTGCTGGCGGGCTCGTACCATTGATTCTTCTTGAGTCGCTGAAAGTCATCGTCGAACACGGACTTCTTGGCCAGCAGGGATTTGACAATATCTGAGGGCTGCAGCTCATCGATGTCCAGAAATTTGTGACGCGAATTGCTCGTCGAACTGGAGACAGTGCCGCTGGAGCTGTTGCTATTGCCGGAGCCCGCCTGATGCGACGAGCCCAGGCCGCCCAGGTTCGTCGCGTGCATGGAGAGCTGCCAGGAAGGTGTGTTCGACTGGCTGCTGCTGCTGGCGTGACTATGGCCATGGCCGGGATTTGCGTTGCTGCTGCCGCCAGACCAGCGCTCGTAGTTCTCCTCAAAGTTGCGCAGTCGTTCATCCAGCGATGGGCTGCCACCCGTCTGGCCGCTCGGAACATCCGAATCGCTTGAGTTGGAGCTCAGCGAGCGCGGACGCGCCGGACTGCCCATCAGGCCAATCGATGAGGATGACGATGACGATTGCTGCAGTTGCAACTGTTGTTGCTGCTGCTGCTGTTGTTGCTGCTGCTGTTGTTGCTGCTGCTGTTGCTGCTGATGGTGATGGTGGTGCTGGTGATGATGATGATTTGAGGAACGCCAATAGCGCGAGGAGGGACTGGGCAAAAAGCCTAAACTGGACGCAGTCGCCGACGTTGATGAGCCGCTAGACAACATCCCAGCAGCGCCTCCGCTAAGACTAGAGTTGTTGTTGTTGTTGTTACTGGCAAGCAACGCCGTTGTTGTCGTCGCCAGCTGCTGCAAATAGCTGGATACTCCGCTGGCTGTGCCACCGCTTCCGCTGCGCTGCTGCTGAAAAAACATCACACCGAATTTGGGTAGCGGCAGCCACATAATGTCGCGCACACGCTCCCGTGCCCGTTCCCGTGGCGGCGGCAGCCGACGCGGCTCTGTGGGCAGCACCTCCGGTCGTTCATCGCAGAGCGGCGTGCCCGGCCTGGAGCCATCGGCGCTCTCGCCGCCGCTGGCCTCGTGCGAATGATGGGAATGTAGCTGATGGCCGCGTCCGCGCGACGCATGATGATGATAGTCATCATTGGGCGTGGGCGCTGCCAGCGAAGGCGTTGGCAGGCTAGCGCTGTTGCCGCTACCGCTGTTGCTCGCGGGATTGCTGCAGGAGGTGGAGGCTGATTGCTGCTGTTGCAGCGGCTGTGGCTGGGATAGCTGCAGCGTGCTAGCGGTCACACGACGTCGCTTCGCCGCCAGTGACGTATTCATTAGATGCTGCTGATCCATGCTGCTCGCACCGACTAGGCCGTGCCGAAATGCCGACGAGTTGGACAGCGCCGAGAGGGCGCCCACATCAATCGATGGCCGCCGGCAGCTGACCATCATGCTGTGGTGTTGCATTGGCATTGGCGGCGGTGCGACCGCTGAAAATTTGCCCGCCTCCGAGACGCGACGTATTTCGCTCTTCCGATTCAGCGGATCGTGTATGACATCACAGTTGGACAGCGGACTGGGCTTGTTGCAGTGACCAGATCCCGGCGACTCGCTGTTCTGCTCCAGCAGCTGCGATTGCTACAAAGAAGAAGTTCAGATAGGATTCAGTTTTATGTATAGGATCAAGTCCTAGAGTGCGAAATGATCGTGCAGTGTGACCCGAAGATACAAAATTATGCTTGCGTTGAGCATATTTAAATTTTAATAACTATATTCAGCATTATCTAAGAGGTTTTTGTTCTATATTGAAAAAGAAAGAGCTGCAATTATCTCGCATTAGCTTAACTGCGAATTCGTTAAAAAAAAGCTTACTTGTCTTTGCAGGTGGATTGGTAAGCAATCTTATATTTTTTTTTTTTTCAAAAATTTGCTTAAAGTAAATTTTCCTTTATATTTCACCCAGAAAAATGAAATTGCCAATTAGATTAAATGATTGATGAGTGAGCAAACTAAATAATTTGCATACAACAGATTTCAAGCCTTGTGGATGAAATGTAACAAACCGTTTTGAATCTGGACTTCGACATTAAATGAAGCTCTTTTGTGCAGCTCCCGATGGGAAGCTTTTGTGCAGCTCCTGCTGTAGTTAATTCTGCGTTGATGAGCGCTCAGTTCACGATCATTTTGCAACACTCTAGCCTATTATTTTGTGTATGTGTGTTTCACTTACCGCACTGGCATTGGAATGATGATGATGATGATGGTAATCCATTTTGATGCGCTTGCGCGGACTGACCACGCCCTCATCACCACTGGACGGGCACTCCTCGAGTTGTTCTGGCAATTGAAAACGTTGATTGTGCACATGATGGCGCAAATCTACATTTGTCTTACCACAACGCCGGCGACTGTTGCTGCTGCTTCCGCCGCTGTTGCTGTTGTTCAGTGTCAGCTCGAGCATTTCGCTGGGGTTGCCAGCGTTGGTGCTGCCACTCCCACTTCCGCTGCTATTGACAGCCGGTCCGAGTCTTGCAATTACAGGCGAATCGGAGCGCATAACAACGCCCGCATCCTCGTCCTGCGCCTGACTGTTGCCGCTGTTACTATTGTTGTTGTTGTTGTTATTGTTGCCCGGTTCAAAGTTGCGAAACCGTCGACCCACATCGTTGAAGTCAAAGTCAATGGTGTGCCGCGCATTGCGCGCCATACGCATACGCGCCTGGACCATCGCCGCTGGCGACATGGGCATCGCACTCGGGCCCACCGCCGAGGGTAACGCTGCGGATGTTGCTCCAGCGTTGCTCACAACTGCCGATGCAATGCTCGGCGCTGGCATCGCATTGCTCGCCGAGATGCTGCTGCTGCCGGTGCTATTGTTGCTGTTGCCAGCACTACTGATGCTGCCGCTGACGCCACCAACACCACCACCAGGCGTATTGCCGCCTGGCGAGCAGCCATCGTTCGAGTTCTGATGTCGACTGAAGGAGGAGGCGCGCGAACGTGACTGTGATGAGTCGTAGCGATTAAAGCGGGAGGAGGAGGAGCCTAAAAAAATATGTAAAACAACAGTTAACAATCTCTGTATCATGCCCAAGCTCGTCCAACTTACCCGCATTGGGCAGCTGTGTCAGTTGCTGCTGCTGCTGCAGTTGTTGTTGTGGCTGCTGCTGCTGCTGCTTCTCCTGTTTCTCGTAGAAGGCATCCTGGCATTCACGCGATGCAAAGTCCACCTGCAGTTTACGTCCACGCATAATGGTGCCACGCATATCCTTGACAGCAGCCTGCGCATTCTGCACCTGATCGTACAGCACCAAAGCCAATTGTCGCGTGCGATCAATGCTGACCTTGGTGACGGTGCCGAAGCGCGTGAACTGTGACTGCAGAAAGGTTTCGGAGACCTTCTCGCCGACACCATCAATCCAGACACAATTCGTGGGCATGGACTTGCCAAAGCCCAGATTAATGCGATTGCTGCCCAAATGCTCGCCATCCATTTTACGCATTGCCTTGACCACAGACACAATATCCGAATACTGACAAAAGGCATAGGCATTCAGTCCCTGCTTCTTGATATCAATCTCGATGATCTCGCCAAAGCTTTCGAAATGGACGCGCAGCTCGCTGGCGGTTATATCCTTCTCGAGGTTGCCAATGAACAGGGTTCGTGTCGCTTTCGGATTGTATTCGTCCAGTTCGGCTTCGTAGGGACGAAATTCATTGTCCTCTACGTCGTAGCCCTGATACGGTTCCACCTCGATTTTACAGCCAAAGAAATGTTTATCATGGGATACTTCGAGAGCCTTCTCCACATCGTCCGGTTTTTTAAAGCAGACGAGCGCATAACGCTCCGAATTCTGTCCCACGACCTTCACCCACGTGACCTTGCCGTGCTTTTTGTACTCGTGAAAGAGACCATCCTTAAGGGATGTGTCCGAGGAACGTGCGGGCAGGTTGCGTACGCGTATCGCCAACGGCCGATTATCTTCGGAATGCACCACCGGATTGGCCGCCAAACAGGAGCTGCTGCTGCTACTGGAGCTGCTGCTGCTGCTACTACTCGAACCACAGCCACCACCGCTGACGACATTGCCACTGGGATTTGAAGAGTTGCCTGCAGCAAGAAATAAATTAAATGGAATTTCAATTACAATCATTTAAAGGGAGCAGATAGCAATACTTACTGCTAGCTGCCACACAGGACTGCAGACTGCGTGAGCTGCGATGCGACGATGTAGCGTTAATGCCACCAACGACTCCAACGAGTGCATCGGCACAATTGCCCGATATCGGGCTGGACGCGTGCGAATGCGACGATGAGTGCGATGAGGCCGATGATGAGCTATGCGAGCTGCTGTAGCTGCTCGGCGAACGTGAATGCGAGCGACTCGACGATGTTGTGCTCCGACCATGCAAATGATGACGCGGTGCACGTCCGCCGCCGCCGACGCCGCCCACGCCCTGTTGCGCCGCATTGCCATTGTCCACGGCGGCGGCCAGGGCAGCGGCCACATTTAAAATGTCACCGCTGCCGCTGCTGCTGCCACTAGAAGCTGTTGTTGCTGCTGCAGCTGTTGCAATTGGCATCGTTGGAGTGGCCGTGTTTATTATATTTAAACTATTACTACTAAAACTATTGTTTGTGATTGTACTTGTCGTCGCTGCTGCTGCTGTTGCTGCTGCTCCTGTCACTGCACCAGCACCGCCTGAGGGCGACTCAGAGCCACAGCGAGCCGCTGCCGTTTTGAGCAGCTTGTTTAGTTTGCTGACGCCGGCGGGGCTTCTGCTGTTGTTGTTGTTGTTGTGGTGTTGCAGGTGAATTTTGCGGGAACAGTTTAACGTTGCCGTTGCCGCCGCCGCCGCTGCCTCATCCGCAACACTGCCCGCATACGCAACGCTGCGGTGCATGGCGGTTGTCGAGGATGCCGCCGCTGCTGCTGCTGCCGCCGGTGCCGCTGCTATCGTGTGCGTATGCGCATGCGAGTGCGAGTGGGCGGGTGATGAGTACGAGGCGGATGTGTTGTAGTGATGATGATGTGGATGATGATTGATCGGTGAGCTCATTATGCTGCCAGCTGCTGAGACGCCGGCATTGCCACTGCCACCAGGACTTTTCAGATGCGCTGTCGCAGTAGCAGCAGCTTCGTACCATGACTGCGGTACGCGTGTGTTTTGGTTAATGTTGTTGTTGTTGCTGCGATCACCCAACGCTTGTGGCGGCAATGGACCACCACCACCAACTGCTCCTCCTCCTCCGCCTGCTGCTGCTGCTGTTGTTGTTGTTGCTCCACCTGCAACCGCAACCGCGCCCACACCCGCTGCAGCTGCTGCTGTTGCTGCTGTCGTTGTCGTCGTGTTGCTGCTTGTAGCTGACGCACCAACTGCTGCTGCTGCTGCTGCGGCTGCTGCTGAACCATTCCTGTATAGACGATCTCGGGCGCGCGATCTGTCGCTGCTGCTGTTGTTGCTGTTGGTGCTGTTAGTGATGTTGTTGCTGCTGGCAGTTGTGGCTACTGCTGCTGCTGCTGCGTTGCTGGCTTGGTAGACTATGCGGCTGCGATCGTAGTAGTTCCTTTCGAAGCTGTTTGTCGGTGGTTCTTCTGTAGACCTGCAATAACATAAAATAAACGCACAAAATGGATAAGCAAAACAGTTGACAACTTGTTGTGTATTGTTTTTAATTGTTTTTTTTTATTGCCATACTCTGTGCACAAAGCGAAAAGGTGTATATTGAGGCATTGTCAATACGTATGAATGCAATTTTATAGCTGATATTAGAGCTGGAGAGTATACATATAACCGACCATCCCCTGGGGTTGGGAAGAGCGTGAAAATCAAACGGCACAAATTAACATTTCCTGATCACAGATTGACATTTTATAGCGTTTACAGACACGAGAGCAATAATAGAGTAGGCTTTTTACAAGCTAATTAAAGCTGTGTTTACACTTCACTGTGTTTACAGAGTATAGCCCAGTCGGCTGCACCCGACAGCAATGTTTTTCCATATTATTTTTAGGACATTTCCATATATTTATATATATATGTGTATATGTTGTTGCCGCCACCCACACACCTCCGCATAATAGTTTTTACACAAAAAACCTTGTCAATTTGCGGCGACGACTGGAGCTGCCGCTGTTGTGTCTGCTGCTATAGCTGTAGGGGAAGAAGGGTATCCGTTTGAGGATCGGTTTTTGCTTAGCGCCAAATGGGCGCTGTTTGTTTTCTAACATGGGCGCAAACAGAAACAAGCCAATTGTATCTTAAATCTTTTACTAAATATAAAAACACACACGCGAGCAAAAATTTCACCGGGGGAAAAAACAAAAAAAAAAAAAGAAACGGCGCCAAATTCAACGTCTGTCGACGTCGCCGTCGTCTGTTTACGCGGCAGAACTTGGCGAGTGTTTTAAGTTTTTTTCTTTTTGCAAACGCACACACACACACGATGCACACACATAAACAAGAGCTGGAGCCGGTGCCGCCTGGCCAGAGAGCGCAAAGAAACACAACCGGTTTTTCAATATTTACACATACACACTTGTGCAGTTCTTTTCTTTTCTTTTAAATTATTATATTTGCAGCACACCAAATATTTTCTATTTCTCTTTTATTTTGGCTTTTTATTTTCTACAGTTTCGTTGATCGTTTTGCCGCTTCTTACTAATTGCTCATCTGCTTTCATGCCGATATTCGCGTAACCAAACACGAGCAGCGGCCTCATTTCGGAGCTGCCGGATCGCTAAACGTTTGCGACAGAGTGTGAGCGAGCGCGGTGCTGCCAAGCTGTGTGCAACAGTGCCATGCTATTTAACAGCGCACAATGTTTAACAGCACAAATTGAGTAATAATTACATTTATGTTCAGCCTCTTTGGCTTAGGCAGTAAGGTTATTAAAAAGGTCAACACTCTTAACAGCTATTGCTGCTAGCTAGCTGCACGCAATCCAAGTGGATAACCACACTTCTCTTTACTAATGTATAACAGCTCGCTGTAACTAACAGCTAATGGAAATGTTTATGCTATGGCCACTGTTATAATTGGGGTGGACACAAAACGCTCAGAAAGTAAACAACAACAAAAATTGTAACGACGCATTTCCCAGGTAAAAATTGTATGCTGCTGCTACCTGAATGAAAAATCAACCCCGCCATAAATTAACATGCGACGCAAAAAAGGCTCAACACAACCGAATGACAGGCCTATTTTCTTTCACACAAGGGAAAACAGGCGCGACCTTAGCTAAAGTTGTCCATTGTTTTCCCCGTGAAACGGAGAGAAAACGTTTTCTAACTATGCCAAAAACAAACGCGTCGCGGCAAAGGGCACGTTATTAGAAATAGAAATAATACATATATATACATACATGTTTATGTAAATGTGTTCATGTGTATTTATATGCTTACGACATATAAGGGACCGCTTTATGGCCTCAACGATCGGTTCGTTCAATAACAGACGGCGACTGCTCATGACGCCGTTTGCTAATCTGCTGCAAGGGCAATTCAACTATTTAGGAGATACGATCGCCGCCAATATATATATATATATATATATATATATATATATATATACATATATTTATACAAATAAGTCTACGCGAAAATCATGTCGATGATTAAATACCCTTGCAGACATGTGCCTTAGAATGAGGGAAACTTTAATTTCAAGCAATCTTCTTTTCTATTCCTAGATAAAAATGTCACTTGTAAAATTTAAAAGAATTGTATGTCTTTAATTTATATTTGCAACAATAATTAATAGCACAAGAACGCAAATATAGGCAAAAAATATACCTAAACGTCTTCAATAGATTATATTTTGTTTAGCTTCTTTTTTGAGAATTTGAATTTAACTGAAAAAATGTTCAGTAGACCAGTGTTGATTAAGGGGTTTATATAGCCATATGTGTCTACTGTGAATATACCTGGAAAACACAAGTTCCACGAAAGAAAAGTGTTTCGAGAGTCAGTTGGGAAAACAAAAGATCACAAAGGCAGCAGTATAAAGACACCTAACTCATATCCAAGAATGATATAATATAAACAAGTAAGAGGTTCTATTCGGTAGCTCCCGACTAGGGGATACCCTGAACCCTCTTCTTCCAACATCAAATGCATATATATATTCTATTTTAGAAGCTATATGTCAAGTTTGGTGACTCTAGCTCTTATTATTTACCAAAATTGCCCAAAAAACAGGATATCGATATCGATTTTTATCGATTGCTTGGAAACGGAGTAAGTTATCGATTATCGGAAGCAAACTCGATCTGCGCGGGAACTAGAAGCATCTACATCTAATTTCAATTCTCTAGCTCTAGGTTCTGAGATCCTTGCGTTCATACATACGGACGGACGGACAGACAGACGGACATGGCTAGATCGATTCGGCTATTGATGCTGATCAAGAATATATATACTTTATGGGGTCGGAGATGCTTCCTTCTGCCTGTTACATACATTTGGATTTTGCACAAATACAATATACCCTTATACCCATTTTAAATGGGTTCAGGGTATAAAAAGGAAGTCCAAGAACTTTCGTGGATGAAAATAATAACAAAACTTCTCATTTCTATCTATTTTCAAGCGAATAAAATAATAATAATAACAAATTAAAGCTGTTATTATCCGTTATATCATTTTGCGAAGTTTAGGAATTTACGAAATGAAATCAAGGCAAAATTCTATTTATAGCAAAGCGAAATTCTTTTACATCAAAGCTCCCATTTATTTATTTAGCTTATTATAAGCCTTTTGTTTGTTTTATTTATATGGGGTTTAAGGTTCGGTTCATGGTAAATTGGTAAATAAACTGAGACCCCCGGCTCGAACCGGTTCGGTTTAAGCCCAGTTTGTCATTTCAGTTTAACGATACGTTTGCTTTTCAATTCTTAAAGAGTAACATGAATTTTTCATGGACTCATATTACCAATTCCACGCAACAACAACCATAATAATAATAATAATAATTATTATTTAATCTGTTATTATAAGTTATACAATTGTGTGTGCATTGAAAGTAAGGGGATTTTTCTGTTTACCAAGCGAAATCAAATGCAAAATGTTCTATTTATAAAACACGAGTTAAACGAAAGCTTCGCTGGCATTTCATAAATAGAGTTAGGCATTTTAATTGAAATGCTTAATGCGGGCCATGTAATTGCACACAAACACAAGAGTGTGCGCGTGTGTGTGTGTGTGTGTGTGTATATATTCATGTTGAATATGATGAATTGAAGCCCACGGCTCTGTCATTCGTTGCAAAGATTTTTTAAAGCCGCATTAAGCGCTTTAAGCGCCCAGAACATAGAGCTCAAAGCACTTAAAATATGGCCATGTAGCACATTCACATGCCAGCTACATACATATGTATGTACATAGATATATGTGCATGCATACATATGCATACACATACCTGTGTATGTGGTATATAAGATAGAGCGCTGCAGTTTCCAGATATATGTAGCTGGAAATTATGTTGCTGCTGCTGCTGCTGCGCTGCGGCTGTGGGTGGTGTGTGTGTGTGTGTGTGTGTGTGTGTGTGTGTGTGTGTGTGTGTGTGTGTGTGTGTGTGTGTTCAGGCTGATGACTCAGGCTTTTGGGCAGCTGTACATAGCATAAAAAAACATTGAGCATACATAAAAACACACACACACACAGGCATACATGTATGTTATGTATATGTGCTGTTCGGCGTAGGGGCTATGTATATGTATGTTCCGCAGCAATTGCATTCAAAGAGCGGCGCGGTTTGCCCGGCATGCGCAGTGAGGCGGGCGAAAAATCAATTCAGCTAAAAGTGCGCCCGGTTAGGGAAGTGCAGGGCCAGGCACAAGCCCAACAATGGCAACATTTGTTGCGCCAACAGCGAGGTGGTGAGAGGAGCAGCAGCAGCAGCAGCAGCAGCAGCAGCAGCAGCAGCAGCAGCAGCAGCAGCAGCAGAGGCAGAGGCAGCAGCAGCAGAGGCAGCAGTAAGCAGAGCAAAGTAATGCGGAGCGTTGGGTGGGACTTGTTTGGGCGTTTGTTTTGGTAATGGGCAAAGCTGTAAATTGCATTACTGTGACTGTCAGTGTATGTGTGGGTGTGTGTGTGTGTATCTGTGTGTGTTTTTGATGCTTATGTAATACATAGGGACGACACCGACCCCAAGCTGTGACAGGGCCTGGCGAAAAGTTTTGCACACAGCGAACGTCCTTGTTTGAGGTTATTTCTGTATATAGCTAGCTGCCTGCCTGGCTGGCTGTGTGTATGTGTGTGCGAGTGTATGCGTGTGTAGAACTTTTTGCAAGTTGAAATTCCTGAAATCCTTTTTAGCCTTTCATTCAATCATTGCCGGGCACACAACGCCCCATCCGCCCTATACGCAAGCCTGCCGCCCCGTCCACACCAATAATAAACAGGATATCAAATGCGGGGGCTTTGGACTGCAGTCAACGTAATTTGAGGACTCTGCCACAGACCGTTGGGCGTGAAATTTATCTGCAACAACAACAACAACATCAGCAGCAGCAGCAGCAGCCGCTTTTGGCAAGTTGAAGGACACGGGAATGACAGCTCGCACAGGGCGCAATATATAGATAAAACGTAACGTAAACAACGA